TAAACCCAGGCACCTTCTCTGAAGTCCGGTGACCTGTGCTTTTAATTTGTTTCTTATGTAAATTCCTCGGTTCCTGTTTTTAACAGTTGGGTGACAATATTTGACAAGCAGGAGATACCTATTTGAGAGCTGAAAAACCAGATACTCCTAAAACCATCCATTCCTTATTTAGTTGGGAAATCCAGGCCAGATAAAAAATGCCTTTTTACAGCAGACCCTTTTCAAATTTGCTAGGCTTTTGTGTCAGAGAAAAGGGAATCCCATAGCTATTGAAAAGATTGTATGTGTGTGCTCTCTCTCACACACACACATGTGTTTGTTTTACAAACAGTATAATGAGGAAGGTGTTCTTATAGAGTGACCAAAAGTGTACTTAGGAACCTGCCCAATGAGCAGCTGCTTAGAGGAACTCGTGAGAAGAGGTACCCCATGATTTTTGTTTCTTTCCTCTGAGGCATGCTGGGAGAAAGGTCTAGAGGCACCAGCATGAAAGCGATATGCAATTTCTGGAAGCGAAGCCAAGCCCCGTGAGGAACGGTTGATGGAGCCAGGTGTGTTTATCCTGGAGAGGACAAGATTTGAGAAGTGCCACATGGGAAATGGCATAAATTTGCTTTAGGCTGCTGTAGAGGGTGGGAGCCGAGCCAAAAGATTCTAACGGTAAGATAGAAGATTTTGACTAAACATTGGGAAGACTTTTCTCCTGGTAAGAGTGGCTTGATAGTATTGCAACCTCTGGAGCTGGTGGACTTTCCTTCAGGGGAGGTTACTAAATCTAAGTTGGTTGCCCACCAGTCAGGGGTGCCTTAGCGATGGATTCCCTGTACTAGATGACCCTGGGGATCTCCTCCAGCTTCGCTGTTGTACGATTTGCCTGACTGTATCCGATGAATATGATCATTGTACACATTCCAATTTGGAGGAAAGCCACCTCGGTGCCTTTTGGCCCTCCAACTAGCCGCCCATCTGCTCTCTGTCAGAACATGTTAGGAGTTCACTTGGATCCATGCCCCAGAGTTTCATTGCTGAGCTGGTCATGTGTTTGTCTCCACGACAACTCAAGGAGATGTGTAAACTGCCATGCTATGAGCCAGATGCTTCTCTGCTCATGTGCTCTAATTAGATGGTCGCTTCCCCCCTTCCCCCTCCCATTACCAGTGATGCTCATTGATGTTGTCCTGTTTCCATGGCTAAGGTGTGAAAAGAAGCTGTAGGGGAGTGGGTGGGATTGGCAGTGATCATGTAGCCAGGCTATACGTAACACCCTCGCAGAAGAGCACCTTTGCAGTTGTTGTGTGCACAAGTGCCATTTGCACGAAAAGCCCACTGTGCCAAATGTTGGTGATGATGTTGGGGGAATGACGGCACCATCCAAGAAAGAGAGTCAGTCAAGAACCTTCCCGAGGGAGTGTCATTTTGCGCTGTTCTCATTGGTGAGGTGCAACGAGGATGCCATTTCCCAACCATACCGTGTTTTTTTCAAATAAATAAATGGTACTGCATCATTTGCCAGAGAAGGGGTAGGGCGGAAGAGCTTAAGAAACTGTTTGTTCTGGTGACAGAAGGTGGAGCACAAACAAAACCTTACACTCTTTTTTAACAGGAATGCTTGGGTGGCAGTTGATGGAAGAGATAGTCTTTTTAAAAAGTTCTAGTCCTGTGTGTTTGCTTCCCAATTTCTTGTGCACTTGATTATTTTCTCTACCTGCTTATTGTTCCTTCTTCATCCAAGCTTCCATGGTTTGGGCCTTTCAGCCATTTATTTGCCTCCTCACCCCCCCACCTTTGTGTCTATATCCACCCAGCTCCCCTCCCTTGCTCTGAGATGTTTTGCTGCAAGGAAGTGTGAATTCTAGCCACGGAAGATGCTGTTCTTTTGTCACTGGTCCGGTGACCTCAGTAGATCTTGTACAGATAAGATACCCACCGTAAATATGTTGCATTTCATTGGATAATTAGGTTTCCTTGGAGACCATTACACAGCAAGAGCAGAGAAATGTGACCTTTTCCCAACCGCCTTCTGTTGCCACCTTTGATTAACCTTCCTAGAGCGCCAGCTTCTGAGGCGGCTCGCTCTCTCCAAGACCGTCTTTGCTGGTGTTGCTATGAAGCCCGTTGTGCAGTCAATTAGCAAATGGGATTTTCATGTCTGAGCATGGTCCTCTGGGCAAAGGGAGCCAAGAGACCTGCCTGCCTGCTACCCTGACTGGTGGTGCCCATGGGGGGAGCATGCTGCCCATCAGGAAGCCTGGAGGAGAACAGAACAGCTCCGGCATGGTGCAACACATCCACATTATTTTGCCGGGGAAGTCCCAGGTTTGATTGGCACTGTTGCCATTTAAAAGGATGACATGGCAAACTCTTTCTGCCTGAGCCCCTGGGAAGCTACTGCACACCAGAGCGGACCACTTTGCAAGACGGACGGATTAGCTGACCCAACACAAGGCCACTTTCACTGGATTAGGATCTTCATGGATCCCACTTAGCATCCCTCCAAATGTCCCTCAAAAAACTAGTTTTGTTGCCCCGAGTCAATACAAGAGCTGTCTATCTGAGAAAAGGAATACCAGTAAAGACTGTAAACTATTCTAGATTAGCCGTGTTTCATAAAATCATAGAATTGTTGAGCTGGACGGGACCATAAGGGTTGTTAAGTCAAGGCCATTGTTGGTACAGGAAATCCACACCTAAAGTACCCTGGACAGCTGGACATCCAAGCTTTGATTAAAAATCTGCAGTGAAGGACAATCCACTCCTCCCACCCACCAAGGCAGTTGATTCCTCTGTTCAATGGCTCTCACTGTTAGAACATTCTTTGTAATGTTTAGGCACAATCTCCCCTCTTGTACTGCGAAGCCATGACTTCTGTTCCTGTCCTCTTGAGCTGCAAAAAAACAAGGCTGCTGCATCTTCCCTGTGAGTACCCTTCAAGTGCCAGAAGATGGCTGTTCATATCACCTTTCTGCCTTCTTCAAGCCACCTCTGCCATGTTTCATAAAATCTTCAGAGCGGTTTGAAGGGGTAGGGAAACGTTGGCCCTCCTGAGACCTTGGACTCTGCAGCTCCCAGGAGCCCCAGCCAGCGTGGTCGGTGGTAAAGGATCAAGGGTGGGATTGTAGTCCCAGATCCCCAGAAGACCAAACTTTCCTGGCCTCTTCTTCTAGCAAAATGTGGCTTGTCTAGATCTCTCTTGGTGTCCCTCTTTTACTTGGAACAGGAGAAAGTTGCGAATCAAAGATGGGGTTAATCTAAATTTCAAAACCAAGTCATAACTTTGGGTTTAAATTGTTAAATAAAATATTCGTTCTCTCTCTTAAAGAAGAGGCAAACAGGAATGTAGCGCCTGTTGGGTCTAATTAAGTGTGCGGGCCATTTATTCTTCATGGGTTGCACTTCTGGCCGCCAGTGCTCACAGCTCTTTGCGTAATAGAAATCCTTCAAGTCAAAACTCCTCTGCAGAATCATTTTCTTCCTCCTAATAGAATTTATATGCAGAATTTATAATCCAGCCTGAGAGAGAGAGAGAGCAGACCCGTCACCATCAATTGCAGCCATTCCCTTTCCTGGCCTTTATACCCAGTTGTGCCCTGAACAGTTGCTGATACTTTACCTTCATGTGCGTAAATGTTCCATTGTGAGTTTGAGGTGTTTTATGAGTGTGGAGTATTTACAAATGTTTGTGGGTTTCATCTCCGGAATAGGCAGCAGGGAGAATATTAACATATCCCCAGGTTTTCACAGATGTGACATGGAAAATGGCCACCTATGCAGATTGTGCTGTAGACCTGATTATTTTTCACCAAATCTGCATCTTTTCTCTGCCGCCTTTTTTGTCTTCTCTGACAGCAACCTTAGAAACTAGGGAACAGGCGAAAGAGAGTGGATCACTGTCAATTCATCCCCCCATCCCCACCCCGATTTTTTGTTTGTTTGCTGCTTTTCCCTTTTCCCTCATGATTTATGTTTGTTTCTGTATTGCCATTTGTAAGGAAAGGGGATTGAGAAAGGATTTGGTGGGAGGGGCCCAGAAACATCCCTTTTGTTCCAGAGTCCAGTGTAAAATCACAGGATCAAGATACTGGAGTGGAAGTAGCAGCAACAACTTGGTCTCCTTGCTCATTTACCCGGACTGAGGTATTTCCCCACTCCAGTGAAAAGTCCAGGATGTATCTTTTATTAGATTGTGAAAAGGACTCTGCATTAATTTTACATCAATATAATTTTATTGCTTTTTATCACTGCCACTTTTGAAATGCCATAAATATGTTTACTTCCTTTGCTACAATGGTGTATGTTTCAGCATGCTGGGGGCATGGTGGGTGTGGAGAGGAGATGGGTGTCATTCCTCCCCCAGAAATGTGTAACTGATTTTACCATGAGCCCAACTCATTCCAATAGATAAGATTCCTTCACAGCCCCAAAGAGGTAAACGGGGTGTGGGGTGTGGTATGCATTTTTTTAAAAAATCCAGGTTATTAGAAGAAGGCCCAAGCAAGAATTCTAGTTTCCGTTTGGCCCATTCAACATGAATAACAAGCTGTTTGTAGCACAGCTGTTCATGGAGTTTATAAATGAAAAGACTTAGCTGGATTGTCCAGTAGGAGTTATCATGCACGCAGACCTTGAAAGGATTTGAGCCTCTGCCATGTCAGACTCTTCTGCTGCTTTCTTTGAAGCTGCAAGGGACTTAATCTGCCCTGGCCTCATTTTAACACAGTATTTAAAGGGACTTAATCTGCCCTGGCCTCATTTTGACATAGTATTTATTTATTAATTTAATTTATACCCCGCCTATCTGGTCAGCTTGACCATTCTAGGCGGCTGTTGTGATGTGTAGCCTTCAGTTAGTCGATGATAGCTGGGGCTAGGCCTACCTCTTTTATGCTCTGGGACGATGTGGCAAAATGCTTAATTCAGATTAGCCCAACCCATTGAGAATGTGAGCATTTTGCGTACCTTCAACCTTTTCTCCCAACGATGACTTTTCCCCTCCACCTCAGGGGGAGCCCATCACGTTCTGCGAAGAAACCTTTGTCTCCCACCGGTCTGCCACCATGCGGCAGTTCCTGCAGAATGCCATCCAGCTGCAGCTTTTCAAGCAGGTATTTTAGCTTGTTAAATAAAAGAACAATCATTTCCCCCCACCTTTATTTTCTGAACTGTGATCTATACTGGTCTGTGTGCCATGAAATACGGTTGGCCACTTTGTTCCCTAATTAGTGTAATTTATGGGTCAAAATGGGATGTCTCCTCCATTAATTCTGCCCCCACCCCACCCCCAGCACTGCTGATGATCTGTTTTCTGGTACAGTGTAGCTTCTCTCCATTTCCTCCCACTATTCTGTAACCGTAAAACAATATTTTTTTCTAGTCCTCTTCCTGCTGATATCTATTACATGGGCCCTCCCATGTATTATTTTGGAGATTGCACTGGATAGGAAAGCTCGGTTCCTGAGCAGTGCTCCTCCAGTCTGCTAATAAAATGAAAATATGGCTTTTCTAGGCTTCCTGTTCACTTGGAAATGACATTTCTGGGGTAGGTGGGTTCGTTTTTTGTGGCAAAAAACAAACAAAAATGTTAACTTATTTTCATGAGCACTAAATGTGCCACAAGACTTTTCAGTGTTTTTGAAAAAAAAAAACCTAGTAAGTATTAGCATGTTGCCAGCAGGGTATTCTTCAGTTCTGTGGGGCAGCCTGAATGATTCATGCTTGATGCACTTTGCTTTCCCTCTTCTGAAGTTTATTGACGGCCGCCTTGACCTTCTTAACTCTGGAGAAGGCTTCAGTGATGTTTTTGAGGAAGAGATCAACCTGAGCGAATATGCTGGTAAGAAGGAATCATTGCTCAAGCTTGTGATTTAAGCTAGAAATGGAGAACCAGATGTAAATCACGCGTGTAAATTCAAGTTTGAAAGGCAGGGTGCAGATCTGCGGCATACAATTGCTTCCGAAGAGAGTTGTTCTGCTCGTTGGCTTTCCCTAGACAACCGCTTGGCCATCGAGTGCCACAGTCTGCTGAACTGGAGAGGATTTTGATCAAAGGCAGCCTGGCTCTTCCTTCCTGGATCACTCTCTTGGACTGCAACTCCCATCCATGTTAACTTGTATAACTAATGGTGAGGAATGATGGAAGTTGTAGTCTGCCAGAATCTAGAGAGCCAGACCTTCTCCCTATCCTTGCTATAGACATTTGAGAGGCTTAAAAGAGGAAACAACAGAATTTTGTGTCCAGGGACTTAATGTCCTACTCGCGCGTAGTCTGCGACTTTTCCCTTTATGTTGAGCCCTGAGATGTTTTAGCTTAACGGTTGGCTTTCTTGATGAGGATTTCCTTTGCATAAAGCTTTTGGGGGACAAAACAAAAAATAAAATAAAAAAGGAAAAGGGGAAAGCCCCCATCCCAAGATTAAGCATATTTATAACTCTGTCTCTAATATTATTGGTGTTTCCCAGCTACCTGACAAGACAACAGCCAGGGGAAAAAAGTCTATGAATCACTTGTATTAACAAAGCTGGGAACGTCTTTTGAATGTATGTGACATACATGTTTGGTTGAGATCAGTATCCGTACCTCTGCTTAATGTAGCGCAGTCCCTTCAGGTGTGGTTGGGACTCCCAACACTTATAGCAGCTCTTGTTTTGACTTTGGGTGTGTGTGTGTGTGTCTTGCAAGGTTTCTGGATTGGCAGCCCTGGTACTTTCAAAGACACTGGTTTTGTCCTGGCTTGTTTGATCCTGGAGTGATGTTACTTCCCTTTCTCGTGACCTGACACCTGTAGACCAAAACAGAGTTCAGTGGCCAAGCCAGGCAAGCAATGAAGGGACAAAGCCACCTTAACTAACATTGAGCAGTGACGGAAGAAGAGAAAGAAAGCACAAACATTCTAAACAGCTTTCTGTATTGAAGCAAACCTGTTTGCTAGATTTAGACAAAAATAAAGAGCCGTTTCTGTTTCTTTTTTTAAAATATGCATTAAGAAAGAAATGCTGCCTCACTAATGAGGGGGGGAAGAAGGGGCTATAAATTACTTTAGCATTGTATTTTGGTAGAGGGGGAGAACATCAGTGACTCAATAAGATGATTGCCCTCATTCTCACCTGTATGCTGTCTCTTTGGGTTAGGTAGTGACAAGCTCTACCACCTGTGGCTGTCAACGGTCAGGGTAAGTGTGGCCTGTGGTCCGGATGCTCCTTGCTCTTTTTTTCTGAATAGGGGAGTATGGCTCTCACTTCCTGTCGGGAGCTAGCCTTGGCCCCTCGAAGTCAGCTAAGCTCCAAGCTGTTGGTTGGTACAGAAATATTTTCCATTTTTTGTTGCAGTAGGAGAGAGGGGCTGGGTGCAGATTCTCTTTTGGAATCTAGAATAAACCCTTAATTGATGGATAGTTGAATTGCGCCATGTGATAAATAGGAACAACAGGCTGCAACTAACTCCTGAGGTTGGTGTTAAATGATCCTTCCATATTATACCCCTGTTAAGGCAGCAATGGTAAAAATTAAAAAAATAATTACCAGAAGCTGCTTTACTCAGTGTCCAGACTTACTCCCAGCATACAGTAGAAAATAATGGTCCAGCATCCTTGATCACAAAGGGTTCTGAGAGAAATAAAATAAGTTCCTCCAAAAATATCCAGCTGGCTTCTCTGATGTTCCCACAGAATGCCAAATACTGTTCTGAGAACTGCAGAAGAAGAAATGTTATAAATTAATAACAAAACAAAAAAAATTCCAGTGTTTCAGTGCAGCACCATTTCTGATAAGATTTGTTGGGTAACATTTTCTTTGTAAATCCTTAATTAACAACTAGTACAAAGCAGTTTTAATTATTGCCTTTCAAACACCATTGTGCTGACATCTACTTTTAATTGTGTTGTGTGCGTGTGTGGAGAGGGCGTTCTCCTCCTTTTGTGCACGCCAGATTTTATTTATCACAATAATGCATTATGCAGCACAAGTCAACATGTGCTGCAAAAATAAATAAAACACCGAAATGCTAGATTATTCTGTCTGACAAACCAGAGTCTGCACACTTTCCTGGTTGTGTCTACGTGAAGTCAGCCCTTCTGGAATTATCTGTAGGTGGATTTTGCTTACCTTTCTCTCTCCTCTCTTAAAAACTCAAGAGAAGGAGGACAGATGTGAGTAGTTTCCTACTGAGGGGAAAGTCGTTCTGGCGCAGTCAATAAATCAGATCTTTTCATATTGTAACATTTTGTTTAGAAATCCAATTGATATGGAGACCCCCTTGGGTGAGCACTGAAAATGCTGCGGTATTCTAGAACTGTCCTTTTATCAGGTGAAAACTGAGGTGACAGTTTTAAAAACAGTCGAATAGGGGAAGAAATATGTAGATAACAGTATCTGAAATGCTTCACCTTCTGTCTGCCTTAAAAATTTAGGTGTAAAAAGCAAAACACCTGAAACCACAGCAATATCGCCTCTGTTCCTGGTCCTGTAGCATTTGCTGAGGCTAGCAAATAGTGTTTGCAAAGCAGTTGTAGAGAAACATGAAATCTGCTCTTTTGTGTGTAGAATTAAAAATTATGATGCCAGTGCCGCTCCAGTGTGTTTGCAAAGCAGTTGTAGAGAAACATGGAATCTGCTCTTGTAGAATTAAAAATGAGGATGCCAGTGCCGCTCCAGCTAACACGTTCTTGCCATGTTGCTTTCCTGCATGTAGAAAGGAAGTGGCGCCATTTTGAATACAGTCAAAACCAAGGCAAACCCTGCCATGAAGACCGTCTACAAGTTTGTAAGTATCAACACACTTCCTCTAAATAAATATGAGATGGGTGGGTGGGTGTCTTTAAATCCGTCTGCATCACAATGGCATGCCTTTGCACCCGAGTTTGGAAAGTTGCTCTTTTGTTCTTTGGGGAGCACAGCTTGTCCCAGTTTTAGGGGGTTGGAGGAGTCATTATTTCAGAAAGGAACTTTTCCAGGATGTGACTTGAGTAAGCAATTTGACTAAACCTGTGAGCACTTCGCCAGAGCTAAGGAGCAGGATGTTCCCATACAGATAGTACTTTTGAAATCGCCATTTCATGCAGGAGGTAAGAATCAGAGAGGGTCTGATCTCATCTGAATCGCTCGAGCTGAACCTTCTCCACCCTGCTCCTAGTCCTCTCTTTGTGACACAAGCCATTGTCGAGGAGACCTCATCTAGGACTTATTGCCCATCTTTAACCCCCATGCAAAGAAGATGCCTTGTAGAAACCCGGTTGAAATAAAATGGATTCTGAAACGGGTATTCTTCTCTCCTCCCCATCCCCGAGTTCTGTTAAATGGTATGGCCAGCCTGCTAGCAAGCACATTTTTGTGCCTTCCACCTGTATTTTTCTGAGATGCAGAAAGGTTGGATCCTGCCCTGGTAAAAAGCAACTCGGCTTCTCACCTTCGTAGCTGCACAGCAGAGATAAAAAATAATTAGGAGGATAGAATAAGCAGCCTAGGCTTCATAAAGGAGGCATTCACAACAAACAAAATCTCCTTTCTCCTCATTAAAGATTGTTTTTTTAACCTCTTGTCTCTGTATTTGTTTTTTTTTAATCCATTATGTCTTCAGCTTAATGGCCCAATTCTCCCTCCCCTTTCCTGTTCTCAATAATCAGGAGAGGTAGGTCCTGATGGGCCAAAATTCAGCCTAGTTTCCCTTAATTCTGGTTTCTGACTCAAGCTAATTTCCTTCCCCCTCCTTTTTCTCATGCAGGCAAAAGATCATGCAAAAATGGGAATAAAAGAGGTGAAAAACCGCTTGAAGCAAAAGGTACTTGAAGTTTGCATGCTTTAAAAAAAAAGTATAAGAAATACTTGGCTAGAAAAAAAGGCATTATGTGATCAATAGAGAGCTGTTTGGTGCTGTGTTGTTAACACACTTCAAAATGCATTACCAGCTGTCCTGGATTTTTTCCCACTGTTATAAATATTCACAGACAAAAACCAAATACATTAAGGTCTGACATGAGATTTGTGCCCCTTGTACCAAAAAGTGGGGAAAAATGGGATAAGGCAAAGTCGATTCAGGTAGCCTGCCTCTTGTTCATGGGAGATCAAGAAATGTTCCTTTTTTCCCCTCTTTCTTTCCCTCTTGTGTGGAAAGTCAAGAGCCTCTGGGCCACTTCAGTTGCTACAAATTAACTACGGAGAAAATAGTTGTATGTGGAGAAAAAGCATGCATGTCCCTTGTAAATTATCCTGTGTAAAGATTGCCTGTGTATTTCTTCTTGTGTGTTATCTGGACAGCAGAATACACACATGTGGGATTCTTTGCTTACCTGTGACATACAGACATGCCTTTTCCTACGTGGAAGCACACATCCATGTACAAAGTTATCACCACATAAAACAGCTCTGAGCAGCTCTGATGCTGATCCAGAGTGAGACCGTTATCTGACATTCAGAGAGATTATTTTCACCATGATAGAAGTGAGTGCAGATTTGCTCAAAATATAGTATCCAAGGAGTTGGAGTGGATAGAAAAAAAGAGGAGATGAATATATGCTTGTGAGACATGGGTTCAAATCCCTGCTTAGTCACAGGAATTCACTTCTTGAAGATCTCACATGTTTGAGAAACCCCGTTAAGGGTTAAGACAGAATCAGTGTGATGACACATTACAACAACAGTATGGGCCCCATGTGATTGATTACCACAAGGGAAGAAACAAGATGATTATCCATTGAAGGCATTTTTACCTAGCTTCCAGAACAGCAAGTACTGTAGTAATCTGTAGTAGGACAGACCTATAGTCTAAACGGCTTGCAGAGAGATCAGGATAGGACAGGAGGTAGGTAATTCAAGTGCCCTATCTCTTGCTATGTCCAACTGGGTGTGTATTTGTTTATGTGTGTGTAAGTGAATGGATTACAAAAGAAAAGAAGAAATGTATCTCGAAATGAGCGAATGGATTGGGTGAATTTGCATTTGTATGTGCCCTTCCTTGGGTGAGGCACAGAAATCTGTCCAGTCGTGCAGGTAAGCTGCTTCGGCTATGTTGCCCCACCAGGATTTAGCAGGTTACGACAATCTCTTGGAAATTCCATGCATCTTCAGCTGTTCTCATTCCATCAAGGACATGGGATTCCACCTGTTTGGTGTAAGGACTGGCTGACACTATATACACCTACCTTACTATGGCCTAATTTCCCTCGTTGTTGGCCCTAGCATTTCAATATTGTTGTACATGGTTGGAGAATATATAGCGTTTGGAAAATATGTTCAGCTTTAAATTTGGATTTCTGTTTTAATTCTTCTGAACCTCATTCATATATTCCAGCCCAGTCAATGGAGTCTAGAGCTCACACACACACCCATGTCACAAACACTCTTCTGTTCTTTCAGTCTTTTCTTGAGCCTTTTCAACAACTGTTGAAAATACTTCTCAGCCTGGTTCTTTTGTATCGAAAGGGGGAGAAAACCCTCAACATCTCCACTTCAGGTACTCTGGCCCAGACTTCTTTGCTCCTCTTCAGTACTCATGTCCATCCCCCATCCCCCTCTTTCCCTCCACCACACACAGCATGGTGAAGAAGTAATGTTAGAGCAGGAGGTTTCACCATATCGGAGGTGAGTCGAATAGCAACAATAGTCTTTCAGGAACAGACTTCTATTTCTTCGGAACACCTTTGAACCAGGCTGTTGACAGGTCCATTAGCCCAGCCTGAGCCGTTTTCCATTCGCCTTCAGCAGATAATCGCCTTTGGTTTTGTCCGCTAATGACAGGTTTTACTTACTTTTGTAAGTAGAATTCTGCCTCTGTGTGTATGTATGTGTGTGTGTGGGGGGGGGGGGGGGAGAACAGGCTGGGAGCCTCTCTTCCCTAACCCTCAAGACTGGGTGGTGATGTTCCCCTCTCTTCTGGCTGACTAATTTGAGGCTCCTCTGGATCTGACCCTCTTGCTCCTTTGTATATTTCTCAGCATTAACATGAAAAGTGCCCTGGCTTTTGGCAGAGAGAGCCAAACCTTCAGCCTTACCTCTGCAGTCTCTGTTGCCAAATAGGGGTGCTTTTCCTCTTATGACAATGGAAGAAATTTTTAAAATGCACCAAAGACGGGGAAAGCAGCTTTCTCTGGCTGTGCATAGCAATGGTGACCTTTCCAATATAATCAAGAGCCTGTTTTTGCCCTTGGTCTGCTCCAGCCCTGGGTTTGAATTGCAAATAGGGAAATGCCAGGTTGACCTCTGGAGAGGTCAGCCCAGTGTATGTAAGGTCCTCTTCTAATATGATCTCTGAGATTGAATGGGGCTCCCTTTCCGTCCCTTCTTCATTTATGATCTGGGTTTTTTTAGAAGCGTCTCCGATCATTTGCGCAGCCTCCTTATGACTGAGAGCAAATGATTGCTAACAGAGAACAATGTGGCAGCTTCTGTTTTATGCCCAGTGCCATTTTTTTTTGCTAAAGTAAAGGCAGCCCATTTGCCTCAGTTCACAAAAGGGAGGAGGAGACCCATGTTCAACCATCTCCTTACTCTGTCTCCTTTGAGTCCCAGCTCCACAGAATTGGGCAGCACAAAGGGAGAGGATGTTTTCATTCTTGCCTCCTGCAAATGGTTGGAGCTCAGTGAAGGGACACACACACATCAGGGGTCGGCCATAAATGAAGCTACTTGATTTGTCACTTCCCACCATGACCTTCTGCTCAGTCCATTTGCCCCACCTTCAACACCATTTTCAAGAGAGTGTAAAGGCACAGTCCAAAAGGGGAGCAGCACGCTCTAGGTTAGGCCAGAGAATTGATGAAAGGGATGTTTGAGGTCTTGGAAAGGATCTTCATTGAGAAAACATGAATGTGCATGGCATAGCAGAGTTGACAAACTAGAGAGAAGTTCCTTACCATGACCGACCTGCATGATCAGCGCTATCCCAGTACATTCGTGGCCAGAATACTCCCAAGGGGAAAAGGGGCTTCTTTTTCTGGGGTGCTGGGAAAGAGAGTGCTAGTGCTCCCAGAAAATCTTTCAGCCAGCATTGCAAAGAGAAACGGCAATATTCTTCCATCATCAGTCATATGCAGCGTAGCTTTATGGCAGCCAGATTTCAGCCACCTCTATATTCCAGAGGCCCAAGCAGCAACAGGACATAGGTAGAAGGAAATGGCTACAGTTTTTAGTGTAACGTCTCCATATGGAAGAACACTACAGAGTTTCAAGGTGGGCTCAAGATGATGGGCGAACTACTGCTACTTGGTTTTCTTTTCCAGAGACAGGTAAAAAGAGTCCAGACGTTGGCAGAAGGGTCTCACAAAATTCTGTGTCTCTTTGTCTCATCAGCCTAATCTGCCTCTCTGTCTTTTGTTTTCTACCCCCTGTTTATATAGTACTTTGAAGTTCATCTGAGGAGGTGCGCACATGCCAGGGGAGCGACATCCACCTGCCACAACACTGCCACTGACCCTTTTCCCCTAACTTGTTTGCTCCCACAGAATGAGGCCTCTAAACCCCTCGCCAAGTTGTATTGCTCACATCTGTGGCTCTTGTTGCTTTAATGTCGCACCTTTGTCGTCTTCAACAAAGGCGAGGAGGACATGTTGTATTATTCATTCCAAGTTTCCAACTTGGAACTTTTCTTTAACAAATTCTTAATTTCCTCTTCCACACTTCTTGCCCAACTTGGCAGACCATGGTTCCATCAACTAGGTCTGAAAAAGTCTCTTGTTTTCCTCTCTGGAGCAGACAAAGCTCTTCATAAGGTCCATCTGTCCTTTGTTTCATTTGACCTCAGTGCGTTAGGTCATCCTGTGTCCAAAAGAATCATTTCTAATTGGCTATCAGCTTACATGTCTCATTAAAGTGTTTGAGCAAGAGTAGAACTTGAGGGGGGGCAAGTCAAAGGTCGGTCCATCAAAAGAGTTGGCTTCGGGGTCACATGGGCATGCAGCGCTCTCTCTATATTTACCAAGCATTATTTCCTTGACACTGTTGTAAAGAGTTTTTAAGGCTAAGGCTCACTGTGTTTTAGGCTTTGTTCAATGACTTGATTGTCCTAGCCTTGCCTGCTTCTCTGATCTTCTAGGGGATCCTGCATGCTTGCCTTTGCTATTTTCTGCCCTCCAATCTTGCCTCATCCAACATGTTTCATTACATAGTTCATGGACACACACACACACACACACAGTTAGGCCATCACGGAAACCAGGGCCCCATATCTCTTAAAATCTGAGAGCCAACGTCTTGTCAAGTCCCATGGATCTTTACTGGCACCTGATTGAAAAGTCTTTTAAAGCACCCTGTCAACCAGCTGGCTTTTAATTAATCAGTAGACCATTCATATTTGAATGTATTTGCACATTGCAAAATGAATGATGTGTATGAATCCCAAAGGAGGAGCAGCAGGAGCTGTAATGACTGCCCTGAAAATTCTGCATTCAATCATCTTCAGGAGGATGGACTCTTTTCTCTTAGAAGACACATACCAGATTCAAAGTGACCTCTAACATAAACAAGAGAGGGACCATAATTACTTATTCGTAGCTCACATGATTTGTTTGTAGCAGGAATCAGGTTTCATCCTTTTTGTTTAGTCGTTAAGTGGTGTCCGACTCTTCGTGACCCCCATGGACCACAGCATGCCAGGCCCTCCTGTCTTCCACTGCCTCACGGAGTTGGGTCAAATTCATGTTGGTTCATCCTTAGGATCTTTAGTTAAAAGTGTAATGAAAAAGATCCATCCCTGCTTGAGACTTAAGACTAGCCACTGCTGGTGACAGTCAACAGCGCTGGACTAGATGAGCTGGCTGCTTTACCTAGTATAAGGCCACTTCCTCTCTTCCTAAAATCTGGGTTTTGGCAGGGCTTTCAACTAGCTTTGGATACAGATTGAAGTGAAGGGCATCCGATTTAGCTGTCTCTATCTCTCTCTATCTGCGAAGTCACCTTGCACCTTGTGTGACTTGACCTTGCTGGACCTCTTCTTAACAGATTGCATTCTTGAGTCCCTTTATTGGGAGAAAGGTGGCCTATGAAAGAGAGAGAGAGAGAGAGAGATAGAAAGAAAGAAAGAAAGAAAGAAAGAATAAGGCCTTGGGGTGCCCAATATATATCTCTGTGAGATGGAGTCAGTCCACCCCTTAGAACCCCTTTGTATGTTCAAGCGGTGTATAGAGTACCACTGCAAGGAGATCAATGCACTGCTAACCGGAGTCAGTTTAATTCCCATAACCTCTTGCTCACTTGGGGTGCCAGGCCTTCTTGATTCATTCTGAGGCTTGCATGATATGGCCAGCTGCAGTTCCAGCAGCCTCCTTAGCAAGTCTCCCTTCTCCATAGCTAGGCCAGGCTGGTTGCAGTTTCTGTAAGTTGAAGTCTAGAGCAATGAACTGGAAATCAATGGCTGAGAACCACTAGCATCTGTGACCATACTTCATTTTAGCTCCAATATTTATTTTTAAGCAACACTTACATACTATTGAACATAATAGTATCTCAGTGCAAAAGAAAGCTGTAAAATCACAGCCATAAATACATAATGCTATGTGAACAACAAAAGATAAGAACAGAGTGGTATTATAACCAATTTTATAACCCAGAAAAGCTTCTGAGAGAAGAGTGTTTTACCTTGTTTGTGATGTCTTTATGGTGACATTCTGTAGATCTGTTGAATGGCCAATAAATTCTCCTCTGAATTTGGCTTGTGAATTGAGAGAAGTAGACTTGGAATCATCACTGCATGAGCTTTATGATAAAACAAGAGATTTGAGCCTACATCTCCTTGGCCTTATTCAGCCATCCAGAGACAACACATTGGCTTTGTTTTGCCCTGGCCCAGGGGCTCCCTTCATCAGATGAGCTCACCAGTTTTGGCTTTTGCACAGTTTATCAACTGCAGAGTGTTCTTTGTGTTAGACTTTTCTCTCTCCCATTTTGAACCGCTTCAACTGGGCTTTTGTGGCATTTACTGTATTTTTTGCACCATAAGACTCACTTCTTTCCCACAAAACAGGGGTGTGGAAAGTCTGTGCGTCTTATGGAGCGAAGAAAACAGATTATATTTTCCTGTTTTCTTCTCCTAAAAAATTGGTGCGTCTTATGGAAAGGTGCGTCTTATGGAGCGAAAAATACGGTAATTATTCTGTGGTGTAGGTATTGATTCTACATTTAACTGGTGATGGCACAGAGCATTTCAACCATCTGTATGCTGATTGTTTCTTTTATTTATGCTTTTTTCATAATCGTTTGCCATTCCTAACATCAAAACACTTCAGGCGGCTTTGTCCCTGAGTATCACCTTCATGCCCCTCACCCTTAATTAAGAATGTTCCTAGCCATGCAACTCACCTTTCTCTACCGTGCAGGACATTGCTGAAAACGGCTGCCCCACCGTGCCAGAAGACTCACTGCCACAGTCGGCACCCTCTCCGCTGGACGAAAAGAGAGATCCTAAACTCCGAGAGGATCGGCGGCCAATCACTGTACACTTTGGGCAGGTATGTAGCCAAATTGCTCCAGCGTTTGGATTCTGAGGGAGAGTTTTGATATCTTGGGTGTCAGGCGTGAGCATCTGAAGTGCCCTGCTTAAGGATTCAGCATTTCTCTTTCACATAACAAAGGGGCCTGGGAAACAGCGGCTCTGGATGGTGTGCAAACAGACTGAGATTTTGTGGGTGCATAGACTGTTGGGTTGTGTGAAGGACCTCTACATAAAACTGGACTTTCTGTGTGTCACTGCTAAGGCTGCAAGATTTGGAGTCTTCAACTGAAAAAGTTGCGAGCTTCACGAAGCTCAAGATCTGAGGCTGTCCTTGTATGACACACAAGTCTTGTGTATCCTCTGCTTGTACAGTATTTTTTTGTGCATCCTTGAGAGCCACATATTGCCCTGAAGGAAAGAAACATGTGCCAGTTCCATGGTAGTGGCAATGGCTCTCTCATTCCCCATGCCTCCGTTTAAGGTGTCCTTCTGCTATCTAGCCCAATCATTAGTGTCAACAGCGTGCACCTTATTATAATAATCACCTCGGCAGACTTTGAACAGAAAAAGCAATGAACTGAGGTTGGAAAATCAATTAATGGCTCTTTAATAGCACCCTCCATGTTTCTGTATTGACTCTGGTGCTCCACAGGCTGGTTATTTTTATTATGGCTCTAGCAATATAGTTTGTGAAAACCAGCCAGAATTGGAGCGGCTAATAATTTTTTTTAAATAAAATGTTATACTGCTATTCTGCTGAAATCAACTTTTTCCAGCTGCTGCTTCGCCAGGCCTTGTGAAAGGGGTTGGGAGAGGCTCTTTTATCTCACCACTAGATTTCTCAGTCCTGATTTGAATCATAATTCTTAATGTTACACTTTAATAATGATTTTTAATCTTGTACTTTAGTCTGTGAAGTTAAATATTAAAGGGTCAGGAGAGAATTAGCACGGATTTTTGTACGCACCCATGTGAAGTAGATGTGATTCAAAGATGATTACTGTATATGAAAGAGCACTATTAGTAATATTTTCTAAACATTTAAAAAATTTAAAACAACAGCAGACACCACATTTAATTATTTAAATGAACTCCAGGACAGGTTGCAGTCATTCACTGATACATCTTAATACTGTTTCTAAACCTCCATGTTTCTCATTATTTTTAGAACAGGAGTTCAGGATTTGAAATGAAATCTCTGTATTTGTCTAGCCCAAGGTACCTTTTTCTTGTGTGGATAGACAGGTCCAACTTCAGTTTTTCTTCCATTGCAGAAAATTAAGTCAACACAACTACTTATTCCTCATTTACCATTTACAGGGTTTAGAACTGATATACCTGTCACGGCTCTTCCTAGTCCCTCTTTTCCATTCATCAGCAGAATCGGCACTATCACATTCCCTTTCCAGAAACTAGAATGCCAAGAAAAGCCATTCTGGTTGGGGACTTTCTCCCTGGAATGTGTGTTTCTATTGCAGTGTAGAAAGTTGATTTGCCACAGGGCGGTGGACTCATAAAGCAGAAGAGGGTGAGTCTAAAATCATAGAGGACCTTCTGTGGTCCCTCACCATCCCCAGTTCTTCAGTGGGATTGCCTTTAGGTGAGCCACTTGCCTGGGTGTAGGTCTCTCTTCAAGAGAGGATACTAAATGGTTAACGGCACATGCCACAGATTTTTTGGCAGCCTTTGTCCCGTCCTTGGGAATGTGCATACTAAAGGCTGTCAAATCACTTTGGTGAGAAAAGGTAGTATTTAATTCAGAAATATGGGTGGATGCCCCTGTTTTGTTCTCTTCCAGAAATAATGGAGAGATTCATATCCCTATTTAGCTTCTTCTTATGGATATTTAAAGGAATGAAAACCTGGGTAAAAGAAGTGTTACTGCAGCTGCCGAGGCAGATGAAGAAGAGGGGGCTCATCCTCTCTCCTTCCTTTTGCAAGATTCTCTGTTGGCACTTGCTTTCTGCCTCTGCCTCATGAAGGGAAGCAGGATCCTTTCCCTAAAAAAATGCATGCATGCCGATGAGGGTCATGGCCCCCATATCATAATGCGGGTTGGTTTGCTGTAGCTGCGGTAGCTCTGCAGCCCACCAGCCCCGGCAAGATGCCTTAATTGAGATGTGCTGTCAGAGTGACAAACACATTTGCATACCGTCTATTTATTTTTGTCGGGGAGAGGTCTGCTGGCTGCTGTTGGTTGAACATCCTTAATCAGCTTGCTGAAAGTGAGCCGGCAGCTCGCTCTTGCTGTCCTACGCTGGGCGCTTTTCTTCATTAAGTGACAGATTAGCTGAAAGGGGAGGGAGACGGTGCTGCTGAGCCAACTGCAACATTTAAGTTTAACTCGTTGAGGCTCGCCTGACGGTAGTTGGCGGCCAGCCACATGTGCCGCCTGCGTTGCTGTTAGAAGTCGCCAGTCTGCTCGCAAAGGGGACAGATCCAAACTAAAGGACTGGGCAGCCATACAGCCACCTGGCTGACTTTTTGCTCCCGTCCTGTTGGGACTTTTTCATCCGTTTGGCAGAGGGGCCGCCTTAGTTTCTGCAGCTGTGACAAAATAATGTCACCCTAGGACTGCTCTCCTCGTAAAAGTCAGATGAGCTGGCTGAGTCCTTGTTGTGGCTGTTGCAGCTTTTCAGTGCAACAACTGGGCAGTGCAGAGAATGCTTTTCTGGTGCTTTTTTGCAGTTCCAGAGATTGAGAGCCTTTTGGTCTCTGTGGGGTCTCTCTGGACTCCTTTTGCTTTGCTTCTTTTGGCCTTGCATCTTGACACTGTCAAGCTTCACATTGTTGTGTATGTATTTCCATCCAGAGCTACTGGTCCAAGCTTAATTCCATGCCCTTGATCCTTGGTTCTCTGCAGTTCTTGGCTGGCACAGGTTGATAGTCACTCTCCTACCCTGCTCTTCAACCGAACCTGCTCCTGCAACCAGGAAGCTGCCTTGTTACTGGCCCTTCGGCTCATCCCTTTTGCTTGTAAAACAAACAGCAGAGTTCCAGGCTCTTGTCTGGGGTGTTTCCCATTGTTCTCTGGAGACGTTTGCTAGGAAATAACCACAGGCCCTTTGCTCTTCTGACTCAGCCATGATCACCGTCTGCTTACATGCCACCATGCGATGCCCTGGGTCAAAGGAAAACACACACCTCTCAGGTGTGATTAAGGTCCCCTTTTCTGTGCCCCATGAGACTGAGAAGGATCTTTAATGTTGGCAAAGAAACCTATTGTGGTTCCTCTCAAGAAGCCTAAAACCACAGAATTATAAAGTTGGAAGGCATCTCGGGACTCGGCTAGTACAACCTCCTGCTAAGGCAGGAATCCACAGCCAAAGAATCCCAGACAGATGGACGACTAACCTTTGGTTTAAAAACCTCCAGTGCATGAGAGTCCACCACCTTCCCTCTGGCAGACGCCTCTGGCCTTCAGAAAGGTGTCAATGTCTGCTCAGATTTTTCTCTCTTATAATTTAAATCCATTTGTTCCACTGGGTTTCCGTGGACTTCTGCTCTCCCAACAGTCGAAGCCAAAGTCTTCGTAATGTGGAACACTGGTTCCCAGCAGTGGGCTGCAGATCTCCTCGGGAGATGTATTCACCTTCCCAGATGGTTCTTGGCATCCTTCCCTAGTTCTTTTGGGGTACCTCATTTGAAGGCAGAATGGCGAGCTGTTCCTTTCCAAAGCCAATTGGGCAGCTAAGGCAGGCCCAAACCCTGATGAGATAATTTTTCACTATGGCTAAAATGCCAGTCCAGTTCTCTTTGGCTTAGATTGGCACTATATGGAATCTTCCTTCTCTGTATGTGGGAATTCCAGATTCTTCTTCGACCCTTCCAGCCATCCTGATTACTAGCTCAAGCCTCCTTAGACTCATGAGAAACCACCTGCTGCTCGAGAAAGACCTTAACTAGCTTTCTTCTAGTCCTTTCTCTCGCGTGGCCCTACATCATTTTAGCCTGAGTTGGACAGCAAGTATTGCTGTCTACAGTCATATACCTAAGATCTACGGCTGAGGGTAGTGCCTGATTCCCACGCAAGCCCTCTGAATTATTAGCCTAATACCACCAAAAACTCAGCATGCTGACATAGTTCAGGAATGATAGTGCACACATACTTACTTTAGATTCCAGCTGCAAGAGAAGACCATTCTCTCTCTTCCCCATTATACTCCACCCATCCCTGGATAATCAAATACATGTCTATTGGTATTCATCTTAAATCGGCTGGTCTGCCTGGATTTTGTAGATGTGAATTCCAGCAACTGGCCCCGTGAGAAGCTCCGAGAATGACCAGTTAAAAAAAACAAGAAAAGAAAAGATGAGAGAGTTTTAAAACCTGGCCTGGCTTTTTGTCTTTTTGCTTAATACACTATAGGTGAATTTTCCATTGTTTAAATGAGAAATATATGCAGTTAGCTCTCTGCTGACAATGTCCTTGAGGATTTGACAGTGAAATTTTCCAGCAGTTGCTCTTCGTTAGGATCCTGGTGGTGTCTAACAAGGCAGCCGAACTGCTGGTACCTTCGACTCCTGTTTGTTCTCCGAGGGCTCGGGGGCTGCTGCAGTAAGCACATCGACCGGGGCTGATCATTACAAGGGCGTACGCCACCATGAATAAAAATGTCACACGCGTCCCCCCCTCCCGTCTCACAGCAGTACAAAATGTCAGCCCTGTCAAACACACATTGCAGGGAGCACTGAGCAGTCGGTACAAATTGGAAAGCCGAATATTCCCCCGGCTTTCTGATATTCTTCATTTGAAGCAGAAGAAAAACAGTTGTTAACCTATTAGCTGTGATTTTAAACGCCGCTGAAGCCAGGGATGGACAGATTTCCTGTGCACGCCGGGCTGAACGCAGTCCTGACACCTTCTGGGTTTTAAGAAACAGACCTTTTTTTGTCTTGTTTTTTTTAGTCGAAAGGGGAGCCCACAAAGGGATGTTCTCATGAGCTCCTGCTTCTTCTCCATTGCATTTCAGCAGTAACACTTCGGGGGCTTACAAAAGATTTTCTGAGCGATGTGCGCTCTGTCCCTCACCTCACCCCCCGCAACAGAACGGAGCTCATGATGCAAACAAACAGGTGTCACATTGCTTTCATCCTTCATCAGTTGTGTACATGGGAGGAACAGAAGCTGTGGATATATTACAAGTCATCAGTCATAATGAGCTGAATTTTCAGGAGGTAGAATGCTATGCTGCAAGGCCTTTCTTTCTAAAGCCAGCAAGACCCTTTTGGGCACTCCAAGGCACAGAGGTCAAAGTATAAGCTGAGCATGGCACGGAAGCTTCTTGAGGTATACAGGAAGTGTATGCCTTCATAGATGGGCACTGGCCACTGGCCATGGCAGAAACATTAAAAGTGTTCAAAGAGACACCCATTTCACTGGTTTGCATCTGGGTTTTGTGCTTCAGAATCTAAAATACACCCCAAAGCAAGGCTCTCATATGGCATTCATCCAAGACTAGATCTGTTCTGCAGATCCTGCCCCGTGGGGCTGGAGGCATTTCCATGCTGGCTAGAGGAAAAAACACTTGGAGCCACATGTCTTCATCACTCCTTGATTGTAGCGCCATGTGATTCTTTGGTTCCTCTTGATTTCATGGCCAGAGGTAGCGTGAGGTCCTTTATGGCCCTCCACCTTGAACCAACTCTTCCAACTAAAAGAAATATTACCACTTCAGAGCAATGAAACAGCTGTCGAAGACTTCTCTGGACACATGTTCAGTGTACCTTATATTATTTTCTTTTTCAGTCTTTGGATTTAATTACATAGGAAGGGGCCTGTCGGATCAGAGAAAAGCCTATCCAGTTCCTCTTCTGTCCTGAATCTTCCACCTGTTGCCTGCCTTAGATGATCCTGACTCCTCGTGTTAGAAGAAAAAAAAATTCTCTTCACCATTTTCTCCACAATATGTATAATCTAATAAATCTCAATCTTATCCCCCAGTCCAGCCCTAGTTGCTGTCTTTCTGCATGCTTCAATCCTCACTCTGAAAGCCCTGGTTGATTGAGAGACCAGAGTCTTCCAGTTGGTGCGGTGTATAAAACAGCAGTTCCCCAGCTGGATCATTCGTCCGTCATCTTGGGAGAGCAGACAGCACCCCTTTGCATGGATACAAAAGCAGGCTTAAACCTTCCCTTTCCTGATCTCTGGATATGAGAGTGTTCTTGCAGTGCTTCTAGAAGATATTCTAGTTTGCCCTTAAGTTTTGGAAAGGGCAAGTACTGTATATCATTCGAAGGTGCAATTATTGCTATCCAGGACTCTGTTCTGCCATTCACTTTGTAACATTTGGCTTCCGGACTACAGGAGGTGCAGAAGGAGAGGAGCAGAAAGGCAACCTGTAGGCCGTTTGTACCAGTTGGGGCTTTTAGAGCACAGCACCTTTACTTATCCCCCGGACCAATTTAAGCGCTGGAGCAGAAGTGGGAAGTCTTCCTTGTTACATCATCTCTGTCTAGTCGCCATGCTTGTGCAGATACCTCCAGGTGGCCATCCTGTACAGACAGGCACATATAAAGCATATTACAATCACCTTGCCTAGAAGGAGGTAAAGGAACGAGCAGTGGGTTGTCAGCAGAGCTGTGACATCCCACTTGTCCCTACCGGTTCCAGTAATTCAGCTGCCTCTAACAGCACTGGCTTGGACATCCTTTGTCTCGTCTGTGCTATACAGGCAATTAAGCGGATATTCCACCACAGCTTCCCCTCCTGACCTTTTCAAAACAATGCATTTTGCTGTATCAACAAATTAACTACAAGTCAGATACTAGTTTTAGTAAATACAATCTGTATGCCCTACAATATGTTTTTAGACTGTGGTGGGGAGAGGGTCTGTAGAACTCGAAAAGAGAAGCGCTGTGGTAGCTCTCAGCGACATGTCTCCTGCTCTTCCAGGTTACTTGTTGTTCCAGAGAAGTAGGGGTCCTTCTTACTGTCATTAAGTGAGATAGCGGCTGCATTCTAGCAATGTTTAAGAACAGGAAATGCAAATGTATCACTAGATGCATTCAGCATGGCCAGCCGTAGGTCCTATGTGTTGCCAGAGATATGTGTGCATGTGCTGCACAACTGCCCTACACAGATGGAGCCTGACATTCAGCAAAGTGCCCACAGCATCTCAGGCATTTTTTTTCATTTTTTTTTAAATCAAGCTCACTTCGAGTTCTCACAGCTGCAGAAAGAGCTTTGCTGGGAAGCACTAGGAAGGAGGGAAATACATGCTGCTTTCCCTGGATGCAGCATTCTGGAAATAAAAAACAGAATTTCTGTGTGTGCATTTTATATTTACTTCTTTGCTAAAGATGTCCACCTCCTTCATAGAAGAGCATAGAATACTGTGGTGCAGGTATCTTAGTCTCTTTGCTCCTTAAAGAAAGGGGAAAAATGGAGGCAGTTGTTTCATATTCCTTTGCGCTGCAAAAGCAGGGCCACATATTAATCACTGTGGGTGTTATAGGAAAGGTGTATAATAATCTTCCAGAACACAAAAGCAGGTCTGGTTGGTCAAGCCACAGGTTCATCTAATCCAGCATCCTGCTTCTCAGTATCCAACCAGCTCACACCTCTGGGAAGCCCACAAGCAGTAGCTTTCTCTCCAACAACTGGAACTCACTAATCTGCTGCTTATGAATGTGGTTGTTGTTTAACCAGCAGTATGGGTGTAAGGTGCTGATATTTCCTCTCAAATAAATTGGGAGCTGTGCCTGAAACTGGCATCATGCTTCCCACAGAAGCTCAGTATTCACTGATCAGCTGTCACCCCCTCTATACATTTATCTCCAGAAGAGATCCTGAGATGGAGTTTGTACAAGATGGGCAACGAGTCCTTTACTCCTCGACTGTGCCTTGTTTGCCCCTGTGCTTCTGTTAGTGCCATCGGTTTCAAAAGGCTTGGGGAGCCCTTCCCTGTGGAGGGTGTAAAAGGCCATGCTGGAACATCAAGCATGTGCTATGTTTGCATGATGGTTCGTTGCTTAATAGGCTGACGACTGAAGTGTCCACTTTGATGCTGCAGCAGAGCATCCGGCCGGCAAGACCGCCTCCTCCCAAGATCCACCGGTCCTCCAGGCCCGTGAGTAACTGGCCTCTCTACCTCTCTGCTGCCATCTTTAACCCTGCGTGCTCTGTAGCCTTACTAAACACTACTAGTTTGGGCCTTGCATATTTCATGTCAAGCCTAACAGGAACCACTATCTTTTATTTTAATTGAACTTTGTCCGACAATCCACCTTTTGCTCTGCTTGTCTTCTGCAGGATCTGCCACTGGTGCTCCTGCAACACCTTCCCCTCTTACTTCTGGGGTGGTTCCTTGACTAAACATCCCTAGGCTTGACATTAAAGTTTTCGCTACAACATTTTTGAAGACTTGCACCAGCCTCCAAACCCAAACGCACTGTTTTAGAACACTTTCACTAATCTGGATATTGCCCCCTTTATTTATCCTTCACGGGAAAAGTAAAACTAGGGAGAGGGGAATGATGTTGGTGCAGAACGTGGTGGTGATGGAAGAGTAAATTCCAAATGTTTGCTGGGGGGGAAGAGGGCTGTAACTCAGTGGTACAGCACATGTTTTGTACGTAAAAGGTCCCAAACTTAATCTCTAGCACTACTTAATCTTTAAGTAGTGATGAAAGAGGGCTGTCTTCTTCTCTGGGATCCCAGAGATATCTTGCCAGTCATTTCAGAAAGCACTGATCTACAGGGACTAATGACCCGACTGGGGTGAGACAGTTTTCCATGTTCCTCTCATGCATAGTCATTCAGAACACAGTCCACTGGGAATCTCTCCAGCAGAATCTTGATTGAACTGAAAAAAAGCTGCACAAGAGCCCACGATGAGAGGGTGCCAGTTGGTTAGCACCTGTGATGTCACCACTGACTGTAGTCCGTGGAGCTCCCATTTCTTTCAGTGAGACTTTTAGCAGCAGAATTTCTCAGAGGATTATGTCCCATGGGTTGCATCTGTTTCTCACTCTTTGCCTGAAATCTCCTGTTGCTGAGGTTGCTGCCAGACAGCCAAACTCCTTAACAGAATGTTGTCTTCTGGCCTTCCTTTCTGTGGTCGAATAGCTTCCCGTGCATGGCCAGTACTTGGAGAACATAAATGGCAGCCTGAAATTAAAAGCTCTACACAGTATTATCCTACACTTTCTCATGTATGTTGCCTTCTGATTTTCATAGCACAGAGATTCCTGCAGTGTGCAAAAATGAACATACTGAGTGATGAAGGCAGTACTGAAACTGCTAAATGAAGATTGCATTAATTATCCCTGTCAATAATCAGCATCCATCTGCAAACAAATCCCTCTTCCAACAAAGGATACTGCAATATAATCCCACTGGGTTCATGTCCCCACCTCCACCCCCCACCTCCACCAGAACTACCCTGTTTCCCCGAAAATAAGACAGGATCTTACATTAATGTTTGTTCCAAAAAATGCATTAGGGCTTATTTTCAGGGGATGTTTTTTTTTTTCATGTACAGCAATCTACATTTATTCAAATACAGCCATGCCATCTTCTGGTTGCTGCACAAAGGTAGAGGGCAGGCTTTCACTTAACTGGGTCTTATTTTGGGGGGTAGGGCTTATATTATGAGCATCCTGAAAGATCCTACTAGGGCTTATTTTCAGGTTAGGGCTTATTTTCGGGGAAACAGGGTATCTTGTTGAGCTTTAGCTACCCTCTTTGCCAGATGGCTTGGGATCTCTGACCAAAGAAAGATGGTGGTGTCAGTTCAGGTCTTGCTAGCGTTTCCTTTGGGCTCCGGTAACCCCAGTTTTACTAGAAGATGTGGGCACTTTTAATCTGATTTCTTGGGTGAACGTGGGATCAAAGAAGCCGAGGGCAAGCGTCCTGCTAACACTAACGGGGCAGTTCTGCTACTGCTTTGGGCCTTCTTTCTGCTTATTGGCAGCTGGCTTGAGTGTTCTGTTTACTCCTTTCTACCAGCACGTTTCATGGGTTTGCGTTGAGTGTGCATGTCTCAACAGTGGGCATTTAGCGCAGCGTGTCATTGCTATGGATTTATGCATTGATAATTTCCCTTCCTTCATGTGTCAAAGGTGGTGCTGATTGCTTTTGTCTCTGCTGTTCAGAGTCCTTGATGCTGGACACCCTTGAGGACTGGCTGAGATTCATTACCCAGGAAGCAAACTGACCCTGTGTGCTTATAGTAAAAATACTGTGGGTCACATACCTCTTCGTCTGGTGAGGCTTTTGCAGACAAAAAGCAACTGAGCAACTTAGTTCCAAGTCGGGCTGGTGCGTGGCATCAAAGGCCATTTTGCCAAGCTTGTGTAATCTCTGAGATCCAATGCATTAATGAGCCTCGGCGGTATAAATATCAGCTGTTACTGAGTAGCTTGCAAAGAGTGTGTCCGTACATAGTTTTTAAAATTATTTTTAAAAATCAAATTATCCTCAGCAAAAACCATTTGCTACAGATGCATTAGGTTTCTCACTTTTAAACAGGTCACATTTAGCAGCTAAATAATCTACCATCTCTTTGTTTATCCCACAAACTGTGGGAAGGGTGAGATTCTAACTCTTGGCTCCAACCCCAATCCACTCCCTGTGGATCAGCTTCCTGTGAAGCATCATGCCTTCAAAACAGCAGGCTTCTCTTGGCACCTGAACTATTGCATGAGCTGAAGTTTCTAAGCACAGGATTATGACATAAATGTACACTGTAGCAAAACAAAACATAACTATATAGCATAATTAGTAGAGTCTAAAAATAAAAGCAGACTTTGTAAATCAGTATACAGTGGTGCCCCGCTTGACGACGAATCCGTTTTACGATGAGTTTTTTGCAATCACTATTGCGATCGCAAAACGATGATTCAAAGGGTGTTTTTTGTTTTTTGTTTTTGGCTTAATGATGATCGGTTCCCTGCTTTGGGAACCGATTTTTTGCTTAACGATGGTTTTAAAACAGCTGATCGGCAGGTCTCAAAATGGCCACGCGCTGTGCAAAATGGCTCCCTGCTGTTTTTAGGACGGATTCCTCGCTTTACAGGCACCAGAAAATGGCCGCCCTATGGAGGATCTTCGCTGGACGATGAGGTATTTCCCCCATTAGAACACATTAACTGATTTTTAATGCATTCTAATGGGTTTTTTAATTTCGCTTGACGACGATCTTGCTGGAACGGATTATCGTTGTCAAGCAGGGCACCACTGTATATCAAACGTGAATGAAAGTGTTTCCAGCCTGTCCCTAACTTGCAACAGAAATTAGTGTATGTTCTATTTCTGGAAGGTCAGGGTACTGCTGCCACCACAGAGAAGGCCCTGATTGTCTCCAGATGTACATCTGATAAACGTGACTCGACCGGGAGAGCTTCTCTTGATGATATCTGCAGCCAGGTGGATCTATATGGGGGCAAATATTTGCTTTGGTATCCTGGTCCAGAGCTGCTTAGGGTTTGCGGGTTCATATCAAAACAGTAAACCTGGCCTGGGGAGCAAATCAACAACCAGTACAGATCTTTTAACTGTGGTTTAATATAACCTAGATGTGACTAGATGATGCGCTTCTCCCCCACTGCCTACATCCTCTGCCACCTCACAGGAGCAGGGTCTGGAGCCTGACATTGCTCAGAATCGTTAAAAGAGATGGCCCCAGATCTTCCTTGTTCAAACACTGGGCAATGGCCAGCGACCCTCCTCTCCCTTTACCCTCTCAGCAGGTTCTGTCCAAGCCAGCAGCTCCTCCTCTAGTCTGTGGTTGTTTTTCCTGGCAGTTTCTACGGTTATAATTTGGTTCCAGAACTTTGATTCATTTTGTGCTACTGGTAATTTCCCCTGGCACCTTGGAGCCAAAGCCTGTGATAAAATTTCTGCCTGTTTTGCAAAAGAAGCTGATGACACCCGTGCCATAAAATGCAGCCAGTGTCTCAAGGTAGGAGTGAGTCCTGTTAACTGCCCTTTCAGTCCTCAAGAGTTTGGCACCTGCCCTCTGTATTGTACTCTTCCTGTGTGTGTATGTGTGTGTATGTGTGCTTGTGGGCGCACGCACACACACACAGTGCTTCTGCATTCTGTGTGCGTTTTAACCCTGCTTGTCTGATGCAGTTTGAAATCCCGCTGGGATTTGGCCTTTTTCCCAACCCAGCCCCCTCCCAGAAATGGTCCTCTCCGGGTTTGGCACACAGTCCCCTCCGCTGATGTCGTGGGGTTGCCATCAGAGGCGGGGCCATTCCCATCCCGAGAGAGGGCCGCCACTAAGGTGAAAGTGTTCTCAGCCTAGTGACAAGCCAGCTTTAGGCTTAATTAAACAGTTTTTTTTTCTCTCTCTCTCCCTCTCTCCCTCTGTCTTCCTCTCTTTCTCTCTCTCCCTCTTGCCTTTCCCTCTCTCTGTGTTTTATCATCCCTAATGAAGCAGTCTCCTCCATCGATCCTGCTGATTGCCAAGCCATTCCTTTTGTTTGCTGGCGCTGAGCCATGCAGCCGCGCTCTGACAGCTCAGCTCCTCTAATTAGCTCTGTTGTTCTTTTCCCCCATGTTTCTCCGCCTTGCAAGTTCACTCGAAGTTGCCGCAAACTTAATCCTTCCATTCCTGCCATAAATTCGCTGCCTTAAGCCGTCTTGATTGCAGAGGGAGAGTCAGCCTTGTGTGCAGCCCAGTCTCCGAGGCCTCTGGCATCTGACCTCTTTTCTTCCCATGGGGCAAGGGCATTCAGCCTCTCTAGGGACTCAGGCTGCATCCTTGCAGCCCCCAGTTGCTGCCATACTCATGCCAGTACCTCTGAGAGGGGATTTCAAACAGAAGAGGGTGATTCTATTATAACTCTGGCTTTTGGTGCTAGTTATGTTTTCTGCTGTGCAAACCAGACCTTCAGGAGGGGGGAGCAATAACATGACTCTTTTTGGCCACAGCAGAGCCACCTTTGCCAGTCCAGGGGCAATTTCTAGGTGAGAGTATGTAACATCTTGTTCAAAGCACCAAGAGACCACTGCACCTGAGAACAAAGCCACCCACTAGAATTGGCATTTCTTCATTATACAAAGTCTTGTGGTTGGCTTAAGCCAGTCTTGCTGTGGGCTCCTACATACAGTATGTCCTCCCTTGGGGCTTGTTTTCAGGTTCGTTTGCATGTGGAATTCTTGCTGCCGGATGGGAAATTGCAGAACCATTTCCCTGCTTTTCAGTGTTTGCCAACTGCTCACCCAAGCCCTGTGCTAAAACTGCCTCTGATATTCCTTTGAACTCTGGACCAGTGTGTCAGAAGTGTGATACCTCCATCCAAGTGCAGGGAATTTTGTGGGTGGACAGGAAGCCATGCTGCCCTCAGCTCCTCCTTGGTTTTAATCTGCCAGCGTATGTATTTTGAGGAAACAGAACGGAGACGAGCAGCTACTGAAGGCTGTTACATGTGGACATCACAGGCATAGCAAAAGGGGAAAAGGAGCATGTGGGCATGTTGGAGAGATGGGGGAGATTTTTTTTATTACAACTCCTCTTTCTCCTTAGATGTGGCATTTTTAAAATGAGATAAAGCGGGCACTGGGCTCTCTCTTTGTAACTACACAGGCAAGGTCTGCATCCTGTCCATGCCTTAGTGTGAATTTTTCTCCCTCTCCTTTTCTGTCTGTTTGTGACCTGCTGGCTGAAGTGTTGTTGTGCCTTGCACAATGGATGTTGCTTCTGATAACTTGGCTGGGAAACATGTTTTGATAGGTCAGCTAAGGACAAAAAAAAGACTGATACTTTGTCAAATTGGATTGAACAAAATGCACATCCCTGGCGGCGTGCTCCATGCTCCAAGGAAAAGCTTCCATATTTCTTTGGTGTTCTGTGTTTTCTCTTCTGTTGATTTTTTTTTCCAGTCTTTGAGGCAACTTCCTTAGATGTCATTACTGTGTCGATCCTTTTAAAAGGATGGTAAAACAAGAGATTGCAGGCCTAAGTATGTTAGCTAACAAGTAGATAAGTTTCATTAAACGAGTCTTTCAACGTAGAAGTCTTTAGGATTGTGGATGCAAGGTCTGGAATTCTTCATTTGTAATGCCTAAATATCTTTTTTCAGGGCTGGAGAAGTCCCTGGACATACGATGAGGAAAAATGTTAGATCCCCCTCTTCTGCCCTGCTGGGTTATACAGGGGTGGTACTTTAAATATTTCAAAGGTGGCTCCCCACAATTGATTCTGGCCTTTAGGCATCTGAAATACATCCATCCAGCCCCGATTCCTACAGTCTGCAGGCTTTGCTGTGGGAGTTCATGCCCCGAGTCTCACAATCCCAACAAAGCCACCTGCTGCTGTTTCTTCCCGTCTCGTGCACATGGTAAACCAAGTGCCCCTTCCTTGACCTGTATCTTCCCGCAGAACGATTCCAAAGGCAGATGTGCCGTTGTGCAGCGCTTACTTGAAAAAGAAAAGCTCCCCTCCACTTGTTTGTTTCCTGTATCTCTTCCACTGTCTCCAATGCTTCATAAAACTTGATTTAGCAAAAGGTGTAATTTGCAGGTGCGTTGGAATGGGATCCCCATCAAAGCTGGTGAAGTATTGATTTTTATAGGGGGCTGTTCACATTGTAGAGCTTGTTAAGAGAGCCGTTGAAATCTCTCTCCACTTCCTGTCAAATAGGTTCGGCCTCCCAGACCCCATGTGGCCAGGAGGCCCAAGAACAATGTAGCCACTGATGGCCGAAAGACCTCTGCCTCAAGTCCAGAACAGTGAGTATATATTTCTTGGAATTTCACTTTTGAAAAGTGGGTATGGGAAGAATTCTGTGTGCTGTTGAAAGAAAAGGGGAAGAAGAAAAAAGGGGGGGATATTTTGAAATTCCTTGCTCAGAGCTGGAACAATGTGATATATACTGTGATATATACCCCAACAGGAGAAAGACAGTGAGTTCTGAGAAATGCATATGATTTCTGCAGTGAGGCAACCACCTTCTCAGGTGTTTTACTTTTCTGAGGCCCTGGGGGGTTGGTGGGGTGTTGTTTTGGATTCTTCAGTAGAAAGCCTGCACCTGAACCAGGCAGGAATCTCCTTTGGTGGAACACCATCGCCCTCTTGTGGAAGAGAGTGAGGGGCCATTCCTGCAACTGTAGTGTGCAATTCTTTGGAGGCGAATGAAAATCGCCGCATAAAATCACTGCACTTGTGGACTTTTAAAGACGCGTGCCTGCAAACATACATCATCTTCTCTCTGTAAACAACAAAGAATAAATTGGCTGCTGAAACAAATGAAGAAATTGATACTCTTGTGACGAAGTATAGGCAGCATTTTCTAGTGTGGTGCGATCTTGGACATCTTGTGTTCCCGAAAGAATGGGAGAAGTAAGTTTACTCCGTCCTTCTGGAGAGATATGAACAGGTATGGAGCAGCTCTGATTTTAAAATATAAAAATAAAACAGAAAGTCAAGAAAAGTTACGTGTTAACCCACTTCCCCATTGTCACTTTTCAAAAAATGGGCTCCAAAAAGTGCCCTGTTTATCCTGGTATCGCATCCTGTAAAAGCTGGGATGAGATAATAGTTTTAGACTACAACTGTCTGAATATGCCAGCCAGTGTTTCTCAGTCTCGAGTGCCAAGTAGGTATTTGATCCTTTTGCGTGTTCCAGGCTCACCCAAGGATTGGGAGCTGCCTCTTGGATACGCTTGTTCCTTTTCCCCTTGTCCCCATGAAAAGCCCAAGGCTGCCACCAGCCTCCCTGAGAGGATTGTGCAGTGAACCGAACACCCCTCCGCAGGTCCCATTTTTAGGTGACTTAGAACCTCCCAGGGGCATCAACAGCGTCTGGTGCCCCTGTCTCTAGGAGAAAAAGCTCAGTCTGAGGCGAAAGGGCTCTTCCTGTGTAGCCTTATTTTTGGAGACCACTTGCTTGTCATTTAGTCACTTCCTCTAGGCAATGTCCGGAGCAGCACTTGAGCAATACTCTATCTCCCTCCCCCCTTTTCTTTCTCTTTTTAAGTTGATGTGCAACTCCTGATGAAACTTGAATGTTTTCTTTCTTGGGCGGTGAAGGAGCTTATCTTCTGACAGCAAGATTTTGGGTTTTGTTTTTTTAATTATGTGCCATGCAGGTCCTTCAGCTGCACCTGCTCCTGACTCTTTACATGTAGTTCATGTGATGTTCACTTCAGCTTCATATTCTGAATTTGATTTCTTCTCAGTTACTGCTTAGGCTGGGGTCTTTCTGACTTGTCACTGCTAGTTTCCAGTGGCTGAACCCCATATGTTGGAGGGCTCTGAGAGCAGATGTACAGCAAGCTCCTGTTCAAAGGCCCTCTTTCCTACCCTATAACAATGTATCTTCTGCTGTTTTGTGGGAGCTGGCATAAGAGGTTCAACCTCTCATTGGGATTTTGTGGGGGTGGGGTGGGGACTAGACATTTTATTTTCCACATACAGCTACATTCACTTGCTTAAGCCATCTCTAGAAGTTTCATGGTATACACCCTATCTCTGCCTCTTGCCTTTGGCCTCCATTGTATAAATAGGTATTGTCTGGATGAGCATGCCCTAGAAGGGTGGGCCTCCTGTTCCTGTGCAGCACTGTGCATCTAGGAATGGAGATCTAATTTTCCCAAAATGGCCTTTGCCCCTACTGATGACACATCTGTGGGGGAGAACTCAAGAAATAGATGGAGGCTGCAGAATGCCAGCCTGTTCCGCCTTTTGTCCAAATCTGCCAAACCTCAAATTGGTAATAAAATCTGTAAGTAACTAATTCTTCCTGATTACTGAATTTCTATCATCTAATACCCATCCGCATTGCTCAGACGCTTTTTTTTTAAAACTTTTTTGTTTTGATTCTTTTTCCTATATCTGTCTTAAGTACATTTAGGTGTCAATTAAATTTGAAATATCTACATTTGTCAGCACTTGGGTTTTGGCCAGCGTGATGTGCTGCTGATTTGTCCAGGCATCCTGACACATGGGAGAGGGGGGTGGGAAGCCCCCGAAATGCAGATTGTCCTCATTAAAATCAAAGCGCCAACTCTCCTAATGGTAGGCAGAGCCGTGGAGCGCATCCTTGGCTTTATTGCGCTGTGTTTCTGACATGATATTTAAAAAGGAACAGCTACGACTGTCAGCACTGTCATATGCTGGCGCTAACCGGAGACATGTTAAACTAAACATTAGAAGACGATCAGCAAGCCATCTGCATGGGAACTCGGTGAAAAGATTAGGGAGGCAGGAGCCCGAGCAATCATGTAGAGACACCGAGGACTGGCGCTGTGACGGACAGGTCGCTTTTCCCTGCAAAGTCTCCACTGTCGCGCTTGCCTCATCGCTAGCTTGCTGCGACCGCCTTTCCCGAGACAGCTCTTTGTGTGTGAAATGCGAGCGAGTAGTGGGTGGCAGCCGGCAGGAGAGAGAAGCCGAATTGGGTTAATGAGGGAAGAGGCTCGCACTGGATTCAACAGCCTCAAGCTAATAAAAAATTTACAGTTGGACATTTTCAAGCGCTCGCCCCTTAATGCTTTTAACCAAAATTGCATTTGGTGTTGAAATCTGAACAGGTTGTCAGCGATGTCTCACTTTGCCGCAAGAGGTGGTCATTTGGCAGCAATGGATTTTTTGGGGGTAGATCTTTATTGAAAGATCAATGGTTTTGGCTTTGGGGTGATCAGCTTTTGCTTCTGAATATACAGGTCTCTGAAAATGCCCTGGAAGTCTACCTGATACCTCAAGCAGGAAACTAGAAGCATCTAAACTAACAGTAGTGGGACAATGTTGTTTGTTCTGTTATCAAGTGACTGCCTGAGGAACACTAATGATTACTGCCGCAATTGCTTGAATATATTTTCTATCTAAAGAGAACCATAGAGCTCCGAAGGATTAAATCTGGTCCTGACTTACCTGTAGAGCCCATATTCAAGAAGAAATGAAAAGGCTATCTAAAACAATTTGTTTAGAAATTTGGCACTATTTTAGGTCTCTGTTTTAGCCCCTGCTTATCCAATGACTGTTTTTCTTGAATTCAGTTACAGTCAAACTTGAAGCAAAGATCTCAACAATCCACACTAAATCAGAAAATGATTTTCCCCAGAGCCTTGCTCAAAAACAGCTTACTTGCTCAAGAAAAAAAATGTGGGTCTGTTGATCCATTTCACATTCTTAGAATGCTCTGGTGTTGTACAGAAATTGATTCACCCATCATCTCATGTCATGTTTGGGTAGCCATGACTGAAAAATGTAGTTATGCAAGGAAATTCCTGCAAAGTTCAGTTCAGTTTCTCTGTTTTAAAAAAAAAAGGGGGGGAGTCCTTGAGTTCCCTTTGATTTTGGAGACTTCTCAATCACATATTAAGCCATTTAGATGAATAAGAATATGATGTACTATAAAACAACTCAGTTCAACCTAGATGACTTACCCTGCAAAGGACCAAATCCATGGATGACAGTGGGGGAAGAGGTGCAACTGATAAGAGTCCATGTCGTGAACGCAAAAGACTCCAGGTTTGATTCTTAGCATCTTCAGGGTGGGGCTCAGGAAGGCAGCCAGTCAGAATAGGCAGCACTGTACTGGATGGACCCAGTTGCCTGACTCAGTATAAGATGCCTTCCTGTGTTGTTAGAGGAAGGGATGCAGCCCATGGAGTAGCAAAGCTCTGCATGCAGAAAGCCCCTCTTTCGATCCCCAGTATTTCTGAGGAGAGCTGGGAAACGCAGAAGCCCTGCAGTGCTATTGCTAATAAAAATGTAGATGAAAGCAAGCTAGACAGAGCAGTCACCTGACTCTGTATGTACCAAAGCAGCTTCTTATACGACTATGTTCTAATGGACATATAAGAAGCCAGTGTGGCAAAACTGTACAGTGGGGGGGGGGAATCTTAAACCCCAGAATCTAATCTGAAGGCAAACTGCACACATCTTCCTGGCAAACTGGAATCCATTAGACATTTTTTAAAACAGTCTAAACACTGAATAAATCAAAAAGTCATATGAAGGATTAACAACGTGATTGTACTAGCTCTGATTTCTGCATTGTCCTATGATCCTTCACACAAAACATAGAGGCCTGAGTACTCTGGGGACTTACTATGTACAAGCCCTAAGAGAACTGGTGGGAATTAATGAGCAGCAGCAAAAGTGTGTATTTAGAAAAAAAAATTCTTCTGAACGTGTTTTGTCATCTGCCCTGTTGAAAACTACTTAAAAGTGATGCTTGATAGGGCTGACCGCAGGCTGCAGCCTTTGAAACAAATGCATGTATATGTCTGTGGGCTTGTGTGTGAGGAAGAGAGAGTGACTATCACAACCATTATGTACTCTATAGAAGCATCCAGGAATATGGATTGTAGTGTTTGTTTATGTGGAGGCAGAGCTCAGGGCATCCAGTAGACAAGGCAGGTGTATTTCCTTTTAAAATAAAAAATATTTTAGCAACATGTCACAGCTCTGAACAGATGATTCAACTTGTTTGCAAGGAGAGAACTTTTCAACCATCTTCTCCACCATTGTTTATGGGACACCTGTGATCCAGTTCCTGCTTGCAGCCCCTCTGTTTTGGTTTTCTCATTTTCCACGAGATTGTGTAGAGGAGCCCCACTCTAGTGTGCGCCTGCATTTCTTATGCAGGCATGTGCACACCTTTTTTTCAGCCACCTCATAGAAAACGCAGGGTGCCAGTAAAGGAGCTGCATTCAGGAGTGAGTGTTTTATGCTTTGCTCATCTCTTTTGACTTACCACATCCTCTGGAGTAGCAGTCATTCTCAACGGCTTTGTCAGATGGTGGACAGTTTCCTCTGTTGTGTTTGGGATGATTCGAGTTTCCTCAGAAGGGCTCCCGAACCCTGATAGAGCAGCTGCAAGCCAGGGAGTATTCATTTGAAAGTCAGGTGCCTGCCCTCAGCTGCAGGGCTCCTTCAGCTGCTGAGCGCATGTGTCTTAGAGGAGGGGGGGGGTTGATGCCAGATTTATGACCCCTGCCATCTTAGGAACCGAAGCAGAAAGAAAAAGCACAGCCTTCACAGGTGGTCCTGGGTCTGCAGAAGTAGGTGCAATGCAGCATATTTTTGTGATGCCAAGTCCTCAGTCTTTGACCTGAAGTGCAGCACCTCAGGAGGTCCTGGAATGGGCCGTTTCTCATGCTCCAACTTCCTTCTTCTAGAAACTGTATCCTGGCTTTGCCTACACCTAGGCCTGTCAGTTCATATATGCCAGTTTTTCTTCTGTTTTCTTTCCCTCTGCAGGTGCAGCTCAGTAACAACCTTTCTTTCTCCTTTCCCTGTCTCCTTCAGCTTGGTAAAGCCCACACGCCATTATACGGTCTTTCTCTCGGAGGACTCTTCCGGCGATGAGTTTCCTCAGGAAGATGACCCTGGCTCCGCCTTCTCTGACAGCTTCCTCTTCTCTACTCCCTTTGAATGGTCTATACCTTGACTCTTTGCCGCCCTAGCCAGCACTGCTCCCTTTCAATGCTTGGAGCACAAGCGCCCCGCTGACGTATTGGTCTTTCCCTTGCTTGGGTGTTTCTGTGGCATGTTTCTGTGTGTGCGCATGCCCCCTACATAAATCCATGCCAGGCTGTTTTACCCCCAACAGGGCAACAGTGGGGAGGGAAGCAGGCCTTTTTGTTGTTGTTGTTGTTCTCTCATGAGTCACTAGGTACAACTGTCCTATTGTTTGTACATTTCCATGTGAACTTGTGAGCTTGCAGGCAGTTCACTTACAGGTATCATTTATGTTTTCTGCATCTCTGATTCCATTGCCCCTTTCTCATTTCTTGATTTGGGCAAACAACTGCACAAGGAACATCGAAAGCAGGCTAAACATTGCAACCTGATGACACAATATGATTGGGGCCTACCAGCAAGAGGGCTGGATCAGTGTTTGATGTCTCAAGGCCATATGTGGTCTTAGTTGTTGGAATGAAAATATGGTAGATGGAGATGGGACAAAGTGGAAGCATAAGAGGCAGAAACAGGTGGAGAAAAGGGCCCAGGAATTGAGTGGTGGGGTGCTAAGTGAGGAAATGTGTAAGAAAAAGAAGAAGCTACTGGATCTTTTTTGGGGGAGGGGGGATGAGAAAATAAATTGGGTGGATGAAGGTAAGCAAGTTGGTGTTTAAAGAACGTGGCAGTCATGGGCCAGGCCAGCCAAAAAAAATTGCCCCAGCCGAATTTTCTAGGATCCAGCTTTCTTTTTAATACCTATGTGAATTCCTGCCACTGTCCAGAGCCTTCAGTCCCAGACCAAACAATTCCACATTGCATTCAGTGGTAATGAGGCAGCCATCATCACATCTGAGCAAACAGCACTACCTTGTCTAACAGGGAACAGAATAAGCCTTTGCTAATAAGTTTGCAGGGTGTAGTTTATCAAGGCAACGAAGAGAGACAGGGGCCCCTCGTATTGCTGCTGTTTCTTGGTGCTTCTCCAGTGTTTTCCTCAATCTCAAGCCTTGTTTAAAGGGCACGGTGAGACTAGCTGCCAGTCAAATGCCAATCACTGTGGAAATGCATGTCAGTTTGTGGTGTTAATTGGATGCGCATTGCACTGCCATTTCTCTCACATGCAGAGCCGACATGCAAATCACAAAGTGTTCAAGGCCCATTTGCCAGGGTACAGAAGAGCAATGCTGCTTAGCACTCATTTCTCAATAAGCCCTACAATAGATTCTCTCTCCCCCATAATGGACTGTGGTGTTGCTTGATAAGGTGACACCAGTTTAATCATTGGTACTTTCCTTGGGGAAGCACCAGGGGCGGCTTGCATTGAGTCAGCTGCAGCAAAGGGAATGGAGGTGTGTCTAGGGCCGCAGAGGCAGTGATCCTGCCTCGGCAAAGATGTGTGATGAACAGTCAGTTTCTTGTGTAAGCCAAGGGGGTCCAGCAACATTGTTCTTTGCATTGTGGGCTGGTTCCAAAGTTCTGCCAAATGCCTTGTTCAGGGGATTGGCATATTTCTGCTTAAGAAGCTTGTTTTCCAGGTCAGTTGAATCACTGATTCCCTCAGAGTCCAGGCCTGAGATGGTTTTGTGTGTAAGCAGCATCAAAATGATTTCCATTGTCTAAGTAATGTTTTCAAAATCCTAATGTTTCTTCCCGTCTCCTCCTCTCTGTTGAAAGCACCAGTCACAAAAGATCCAGGCAGTAAGCAGAACTTCCCTACTGAACTTATCCTTGCACATTCCCCCAGCCCCACTGGTTTTGCTGTTGTAAGTGCATGTTTCATACCTTAAAGGGGTATAGCACCTGGTCCAGGGTGCCATCATGCCATATGCGCAGATCTCAGTCAGTTTGAAATTACTCTGGGCCAGCTTCACTGAAGTAGCAGAAGTTGGATGACATCAGCATTCAACCTGTGGCTGGCACAGTTCTTCACGTTGTCTCATCGACCCACCATTTCGAAAGCCAGTGGTGGATGGAAGCAAGCCAGGCAATATGGCCTTGCTTTCAGGTCTTGTTGCATTTGAAAGCAAGAGCACAAACCCTGACTAGGAGACATTATTGGGCTTTTATCCCTTGGAAGTATCAGTTTTTCCTGCTGACCCCATCTTAATGTGAAGCATGTTTCTGCAATTTTCAGAGGGGTTAGTTAACAAGTATTTTCTTTTTTTCTTTTTTGCCAGGCCTCAGCCTTACCGTGCCCTGAAGGAGTCTGACAGTGCAGATGGAGAAGAAACCAGCCCTGAAAGGCTGAAAGACTCTGGCCACGCAAACCTGCCCAAGCCAGACATCCCTGCAGGAATCAGCCTCCTGGAAAGTATTTTTACAGGTCTGGATGTAGAGTCACAGCCCCAGACTCTCAGCCAAGCGAAGAGCTTGGAAGACTTAAGGATTCCCAAGGAGGATGCAGATCAGCAGTCTACCTTTGACTACCAGGTATGGGGCTTGGTTGAGTGCAGAAGGAGAAAGTCAGTGCGAGGAGGCAGGCAGAAAAACTTTCAGGGCTAACAAGAGAAAAGAATGTGTTGACTCATAAGACAGGTGGTGCCCATAAGCTGGGCGCTTGCTGGTGCGATGTGGATGAGCAGACCAGTGAGAGGAGCAGAACATATAGGGGTTTGGCGACTCAGCAAGAAAGTTTCTCGTAAGTAGGGCGAGGTGGAAGAGAGCCCAAGGAAGACTTTGTGTGCATGGTCTTTGAGGGTGGCTGGTTTCACTGAGACATGGGGAAGCTTTGTTCATAGAGAGCCTTGTGCCAGGAGGGTCTTGGGGGGGGTGAGTATGAAATGAAAGGGCTCAGGAAAACTCACTGATATGCTGGGTGTTTTCTGGCAGAGAATGGATCCTTGCTTTTCTGAAAAAAACTGGGCTTCTCCAGGGATGAAGCTTTCCCATCCCTACAAGCAGTTGTGGGGCTTGGGCCACGACGACATGGCTATTCCCTCCAAGTACTCCCAAAGCTCCCCGGAGAGGCCGTTTGCTACTCTTGGGAATGTGCCCCCAGTCCCACTGAGGCCCCGGAGCAGAGATAGCATCCTGGACATCACTGAAAAGGACGCTGGCAGCACCCCTTCCCCGCAAGGGAGCATTACCATCCCACGGCCGCAGGGCCGGAAGACGCCAGAACTGGGCATTGTCCCACCGCCACCTGCACCCAGATCTTCCAAGCAACAGGCACTACCTGAAGTGGCGGCCCCTCTTTCTGGACACAGCACCCTGGCCTCAGAGATCATGCCAGAGACTTTTGGAACCAGAAACGTCTCTCTTGACCCTGAATTCAGACAACCTGCTGCTGGCTTTGCTGCTCCCCACCCCCAGGCTTTGACCGGCACCAGCAGTGCGACGGAAATGCTACAGCCCGTCAGAGTCTCCGTGGAGGGGGCCAACAGTGACAGTGACTTCCTCCTTGCTCTCCTAGATCCACTGAAAGGTGGGACTTGTCAGGATACTAGTTTCCAGCCAAGTACCCAAAGCCTGTTGGGCTCCGTGTCTCCTAACCCTGCAACTGGCTTTCCCTCAACAGCAAGTGACCTCCTGCCACCGACTTCAGCATCGTTTGGTCGGCCACTGGGATATTCTCCAGCTGTGACACCGTTTGCACCGGCTTCTCTCAACCCATTTGTGCAGGCAGTGCCAGCGCCTCTGCCATTATCCCTGGTTAGGCCCCCTGGTAGCCCCTTTGTACCCTCCCTGGGCCACGCTTACAGTTCCAGCTTCATCACCTCAAATTCCACTTTCTACCAACCCCAGAGGCCTCCCCCAAACCCTCTGACGCTCTCCATGCCCAACCTCTTTGCCCAGTCTCCAGCAGTGACACCCCCTTCTCAAACCCCTTCCCAAAGCAACGTCCCACAACCAGCACAGTTTTGCGGCCCTTCTAAAATTCGGACAGTGCCCCTTGTTCATTCCACCTCCAAAACGGAGGCCAAACCGAAGCTGGTTGCAAGGCCCAGTGATCTGCCACTGGTTCCCCCCAAGGCCAAAGTTGCAGAGGCAGTATTGCAGGCTTCCAAATCTCAGGCTAAGCCTCAGCCAAAAGACCCCTTTGAAGACTTGTTAAATAAGACCAAGCAAGAAATTTCAGTTACGCCAGGTAAAGTAGAACAGCTGAGGAGGCAGTGGGAAACATTTGAGTGACTTGCCTTGTGGGCAGCAATCTTAAATTCTTTTCTGGGTTGCCTCTTGAGCCAGTACAATATCACAGTACTCCGTTGGAATGGCAGGGTTAGCCAGTGAGAAGCTAGTGCTTGGTCACCAGCTCCAGTGCTGCTGCTGTTGGCAGGATGTCCTGGCTAGACACTGTTATGCCACCCGGGTGCCCCAGTGTAGCCCTCACTGGTCCCTCCCCCTTAGGTGTCCATCATGCCTGAACACTACCTAAAAGGTGGTCTAAGGGAGTACGGGAGATCAGACAATCACCCACTCTTCCAAATTTCCCAAAGGTAACTACTGAATTGAAGAATTTCCCATTGATCCCCGCATCTTTTTTTGCCCAACCTTTTATACCTGCAGACATGACCTGCTTCCACCCCAACCCGCTCCAAGCTGAAGTTTCACTTCCTCAACAATGTGATCAGTATTGAATTTAAAGCTTCTCTTGTGTTTTCATGGGCTGCAAATTATGTTTGCTTTCACACGTAAATGCCTCACGCAAGCTAAATCACTCACTGGGCTTTTGGAATGCCTCTTTCTGTTAGCCGCTTCTCTGTCCTGCAGGCACAATGTTGATCTGACTGGACTTGCAACTCTTTGAACACCCTGGCCCTCCAAACTCTGCATGCTGTGGGGAAGCCTTCCTAGCTGTGGAACCCCTTCCATATCCCAGGCTCAATATTGACATCTGAGCGCCACACATAGTTCTGCTAGGGTAGGACCAAGCGTCCCTTCATATCCATCAGAGAATCGGAATCACCAGCAGTGGGCCTTTTTAGAGTGAGGCTTCCAAATGCCCTTCTCGTGGTTCCCTCAACTCTTCTGTAACTGTGTTAATGCCATTACATATAAAAATCTATAGATAGATATATAAAAGTGTTACTAGGTGGCAATCATGCAACTAGGTGTAATAGTACCGTATTTTAATACCAAAAAGAGAGACGACCAAGTTATAAAGCACCATTCCCCTGCCCTGGTGTCCTCTGGGTATGCTGAAGTATAGCCCCCACAACCCCTAGATGGGGATGATGGGTGTACTAACAGTAATATTATCCAGATGGCACCATATTGGGAAAGGCTAGTATAAGGGGTTCCTAATCATGGTGAGATGAATTGAAGCCTGCCTGGCAGAACAGCGGAGCCTAGAAAATGGCCACATGTGTGGATTATCAAAGGTATTTTTAAGTCTTAAGTGATGGCTTTTGTTATTACTTTTACTTAAAAGAGAGCCCAAGAGATCTGTTGAGGCTCCACTGGGGAATGGGGAGGAGAGCTGAAAGGAGTCATATCATGGGCATGAAAGCCACAAAGGATTCAAGGGCCCGTTGGCGCCTTTGCCTCTGGCCTCTTAGAGATCGGCAGCCTATTTTTTTCTTTGACACTTAATTTGGTGTGTTTTTTTTGGGGGGGGGGTAGATTTTTGTTTTTAAATTACTGTTGGGCAGTAATTAGGCATGTCCTCAGCCTGCAAACGCAAGGAGTTACCTTGCACATCCACGAAAAATCATTCCTCTTTGCCAGCTCCTTTTCTCTCCAGTGTATTTTGTTTCCGTGACCACCTTAAAAGTTTTTTTCTTCCTGCTGCTGAAGTATTACTTAGGCTTCTGTCTTCATGCTCAAGCCTGTACAATGCAAGAACCTACCTGATTCCTCTGGATCCCGAGGGTCAGAGGTCACCTCTTGGCATTGTGTTTGTGTTATCATCCTTCCGTCAACTACTGTTGCTTTTACAAGGCATTCTCTCTGTTTTGTATTCTCTCTTTTTTGCTGGGAAAAAAAGATGTTTTTGATATTGCCTAGTTCTGAATAGTAAAATATTTAAAGTCCACCAAATGGATGAGTGTTGGCTTGCTTTACACAGAGTTGGGTTGCCTACAGGGGATGGTGGCTGCCTTCAGGACCTGCATATGGGCGCTTGAAGGCATCTGGATGGCCACTGCTAGATAAAGAACGCTCATCAAGAGGGCCTTTTCGTCTGGTCCAGTATGTTATATTTGTAAGACTGCATCCACCACCACCCTACTTCATCCTAGATCTGCTCAAGCAGTTGTGGAACGGCAGCTGTGCCCATTAGTTGTTCCGTGTGGAATAAAAATCCTACTTCAGATTTCATTTGCACAGAACACTGTAGATCTACCGTATTTTTCGCTCCATAAGACACACCTTTCCATAAGACGCACCAATTTTTAGGAGAAGAAAACAGGAAAATATAATCTGTTTTCTTCACTCCATAAGACGCACAGACTTTCCACCCTCCTGTTTTGTGGGGGGGAAGGTGCGTCTTATGGTGCGAAAAATACGGTAATTTTGTTATAGATTAAAACTGACTTTTCTTTTATAAGACCAACAGCTTAGTTGACCAAGAAGTTGGGACTAAGCAGTTGGATGTGGATGCAGGAAAGGACTTCTTTCAGCCAAGTCCCACACCTACCTAAGTCTTCCATTACACTGTCTGTAGAATTATATCTTGTGATCAGTCAGAATTCAATCTGTTTCTCCTCCTTCTGTGAAGTGACTGGACAACCATGTTGGAACTCTTGAGCTGGCAGGTGTGCGCAAAGGCACCTTCTGAAGCACTGCTCTCCAAGACCTGAGAAACATGTAAACTCCTGCCTGTTAGTTGTACTACCATTTCAGAGTTCCTGCTTAGTACTGTATGTTCCTAGTACAATGGAAAATGGAGGGCAACCTTCATTTATTTTGCACTCAAAGCTGGATGCTTTATCTCATGCAGTGGTAACTGGAGTTGTATATCTCTTGCTTCAGTCTCCTAAGGGCTGCAATAGTAAAAGAAGCTAGTTTTAAGGCACTGCAGGTGCATAAGCATTGGAGAACATCCTAGCAGATACATTATTCTAAAGAAGCAAATGGAGCTGGCAGTTGAGACCATTCCAGTGTATAAAAACCTTGAGCATGCTAGAAAGAAGACTGATAACTGAATCAGTTATGTGAGACTGTAGAGGTCTGGCTCTGACCATCCTTAACAGAGTCTGTCCTCCAGGGAACAGCACATGTTGGTTTTTATGTGTTATCTACAACAGAATCCTTTCAAACACTGGCTGAAATCCAACACCATAACTTACACCACATAAGGCTGATGATGTCATCAGGTGTGGTGGCTTTTCAGAAATTAGAATGTTACGATCCCTCCCCAGAGCCTGAAGAGTCTTAGATTCCCCTGTGATCCCTTTCATTGTGAAGGAGACGTTGGGAGCCACTCAGAAGACTTTATTTTCCAAAAATTGCTGCTAGTAAAATCATTCTGCTGGCAATGATTTTCAGTAGCCTTTTCTGTCCTGTAGCTCCCAACAGCTTGCTGACTATGAAAGGGGTTCCATGGGAGTCTCAGAACCTTGCAGGGAGAAATAAGAAATGTTTTATTTCTGAAAAATTGTAGTGGCTGATGACATCATCAGCCTTACTACATGAACAGGATTTCAGCCACTGTTTTTCAAAACTACTGGTAAAATCAAGCATCTGAACTAGTTATTTACAGTAGTAGCAAAACTAGCAGGCCCAACTCGCTTAGCATAGTTGGTAAGAGCAGCATTGATAGAGGAGAGAACACTTGGGGCATGTAAACATTCAAGATAATTCACAATAGGATTGTGCTGAGTCACATTAGAAACAAGGAAATGATTCTTCACAACTTTCTCAATCTGTCAGAAATACTTACTTTCAAGCCAACCTCCTGGTGATCAGGTATTGTTTGTTCCTCCTCTAGTCTGTGGCATGAAGCATCTCTACATATGATCTCAGGATGTACTGGAAAGATAGATGGAAGCTGTCCCTGTAATGTGCTAACTGAAGTCAGAATGCTTAGGTGCTTATCTGCCAAGAGGACGAAATCGGATTTTTTAACAAATTATATTGCCGATCTAACCACTGGTAGAGCTGCTGTGATATCACAGCACATTCATAAAGACTAATTACTGAAAGAGAAACTGTTGGCAATAAAATGCTTGAAAATAGTGCAAACTGTTTATGCTTTGAGCGGTGGGGATAGTCTTTGCTGTCAGCCCTTCCACATCAATTACCAAAAGTCACACCCTCGGATAGGCTAGGGAGCTGGTGTTAGTCTTGGGTGGGTTTCCAGAGCTTCCTCAGACTTCATACTGCGCTCTTCCTTCCTTTTTAACTGTGAATGAATGCCTGCGTGGAGCAATGTAATTTGTACACAGTGATGCAAATTTTTATTACAACATTCACCAGTCTTTTTTTTAAAAGCATTTCATAGTCTGTAGCAAATTATTTTTGTGAAAAAATATACCCAAAATCAAATATCAAAAGTATGTTAAAATTCACAGTGGAAAACAAAAATACATCCATAAGTTAAACAGCAGGATGGCTAAAAACACAGATTGACATCCATGGCAGGAGTGTGTCTTTATGGTGCTAGGAACGTGGAGGACACCTAGTAGACTACTTCCAGATCACTTGGGAGTAGGCTATGTATGTGGAGACTGGCTCACTAACCCGTTCTGGTGCAATGAAATGGGACTCCTTTGCTGAGCTGAGTAGTCTAGGCTTGTTGCCACATAGAAACAGTGGTGAGAGGCTGATTCATTTGGGGTGGTGGAATGTGTCTCCTTCAATCTGTGTTGATACTAGTTATATTCCCTCCAGTGGTACAGGTCCCTACTCCTTCAGTACGGGAAGAAGGTCTCCCTGATCATCTCACAGCAAGTGGTCTTGATTATCACCAAGTGGGCTACACTCCCTGTTGGCTCCAGAATTGGGGGCTGCCCTGGAGTTCTTTGTTTTGGCCTTCAAGGGGCAGTGGATTCCTCCTTAGCCCATTAACTCACTTCTCTCGTTGAGGCCTCTGACTTTTGAGGAGGGTGAACAAGACGACCCTGGTTCTCAGCTGATGGGCCTAGGGATCTTGCTCTGTACTCAAGGCCTGACTATCATTATAGTTGAGGTGTGGTGAAGTTTTTTTTCCCCCTCTTCGTCCTTTGAGGCAGAGGTTATGTTTTTCTCCCATAGCATCCAGCTAGACATTTATCATAGGCATCTATTTTAAATTTTCCTTGCAGTGATCTCTGTCAAGGCACCTGCTTAGTTTGCATCTACTCTTATGTTTTATACCTCCTTAAAGACACCTATACCAAAGCTCGTTGAGAATACCAGGTGTGCACCTTTTCTTGTTGTGCTGCAGTTGCAGGGAATGAATGATTCCGTTAATGTGACAAAGAATATTGGGATCCTGCTGTTACTGCTGGACTTAGAAACCCTTTTTTGGCTTTGTCCTGTCTCTGGCTTCATCCTGTCAGTGTCTAGCTGATTTCTGTCTAACTGGATCGTGCTGGGGGCTTCAGGCCTGGTTGTAAGCATTCAGTTGGAGAGGAAGCCACGTGGCCTTTCCAAAGTGGTGTGAGAGGTGGGCTCACTCTGCAGAGCAAGTGGTACACAGCTCCTGCCTCTTCTCACAGAATCAATTCCCTTTTGCATTTCCAAAATATTGAAGACAGCCTGCCCATGACTGTTTTTTCTGAGCAGGAATAGCAAGCAGAAAAGCAGCCTGGTCTTTTCTTCCTGCAAATGTCTGTGGGAATTCACACATCTCCTGATCAAACAGGGCTTTGGCTTTTGGAACAATAATATTTTGCTAGAATATTACTTATTGCCATTAGTTTCAATAGCACTGAAATGCTAATTGTTCTAGGCTCCAGTTGGCCACGCGCATGCAGGTGGTACATGGCACAAGACGTGAAATCTGTTCTCCCTCAACAAAAGGTGAGTGCTCTTTTTGGACAGGGGGCACCATTGCCCTCCCATTGCTTCTGTGGCCTGACCTTGGCTGTACCAAGAAGAAACCATGTGCCCAGGGCTTGTGCTGGTGCACATAAATGATAAAATACTGTTGGTCAGTTACCCTCTCCCTTTGGGACTGATTACTCCAATCCAGCCAGGCTGCCTCATTTTGCTACCATGGGGTATACTGAGCTGGCATATAGCTCTCAGAAAGTCCCTGTGAATGCCTCATGTTACAAAGGGCACCCTTCTCTTCCATGACAAAAAGAAGTGAGAATGTTCGTGGGTCAAGGTCTCCTCAGTCTGTCCCCCTCCTTCTATATAAGGATTCTCTGCCCTTTGCCCCGTGCGTGTCTGTCCATGCCATCCTTGTTTTGCGTGGAGAAGTTTTGGTCCTGAATGACCCTAACAGCTTGAGGAACCAGAAGCTCTGGGATAAATGTAAAACAAAACAAAGCAAGAAGAACTTCACTTTTGTATAGACAACTTGAAACCTCCCTTGTGAATGAGGACTTTGTAAAACAGCCCACAACATGATCCTGAGGAGAGTTTTGGTCAGGATCTCTTATTCTGTGTGCAAAAAAAAGGTAGCTGTCAGTAGAGGGAAACCAGGAAGAAGCCAAATGGTCTTCTTGTTCACGGTTAAACAGTTAATACTGTCTCAGGTAACTTGTTTACAAGGCACTTTAGGCCACGGTGCTGTGGTTCATCCTTGGCAGTTGATTGCAATCAAGTGGGTCACCCAAGCAGGTAACATGTGACCCTCCCTCCCCCCCTGCCGCCGCTGGTGGGAGGGGAGGATTACAAATGTTCTGTTCAGTTGTAAGTAGAAAAGCCAGGAAGACTGTTCATCTGTGGGTTTTGAAGCTGTGTTAATTGGGTCACACACAAAAGTGCTTACTCCAGTCTTTGTTATTCAGCTCTTTTCTATCTCCCAGCCACCGTCTGACTAACGGCTGCTGCACAGTTTGTTCTGAGTTCCCAGTCCTGGCTGGTGCTCAGTCTCTGGCTGTAAACAGATGAGCAGTACAGGCCACTGAACACGTATCTGCGCAGACTGACAGCAGAACCTCCGATTCTGGAATGCTCTTTTGTGTCCCTGCATTGCTGGCTTGCCATTCACCAAATGCGTGTTGTCACAGGCTATCCATTGTGTTGCTGGCTTTTCTGCTACGTCACTGGCGTGCTGGTCGCGCTGCAGACAAAATTGCCTCCGGAGAGCACAGCAGAGAAACAGCGTGAGGCTTTGCCCTTTGGATTTCCAACCGCAGCCGCTTTTTCTTCAACTGGCATTCAGATCAGCCGCTCCAGAGGTGGCAACTTAATGACATTCCACATCTCCACTCGTGCGCCATCTTTCTCCTGGCGGCTTGGGCTGTATGTTCCTTGAGTTGCCCTCCTCTTCTTCATGGCAACAACCGAGGCAGCAAAGATGGCAATAAGCACAATGGCGCCAACAGCTCCTACCGCTCCCACCAGCGTGGAACTGCTGACTTGGGCCCAAGCTGGGCGCTGTGGTGGAACAAGATGTTATTGACCTCCTGCTATAGTATTCCAGACAACTAGAAAGCGTACAGTCCCTGTGTGGTTTTGTCCATAGCTTGGCAATCTGCAAGTGAAGTACCCCCACAGGCAGGAAGCCAGCTGAAGGGTTTACAGAGCACCACTTGGTGTTGATATCGGATGCACAGCGGCTGTTCGCAAGAGTACCTACCAACCAGGCATAGCTGTCCCTTTTCAGTCCATCTCTAGCCTCTGCCGTTGCCCAGGTTTGCCACCTCAAGGAGCTATGACTCTGCCTCTTGACATTTAGGTCCCCCACAATTTAATTCTCATTGAGAACTGAGCAACTGAACTGAGCCCTCTAAACAAATGGCATTAATAGAACACCAAACACAGACTGCTTTAAAAACAACAACAACAAGAGTTTGTGCAAACTTATTCAGTGGATATCAAAAGACCCTCATCGTCTGCACTGTATCTACAGGGGAGGCAGGATCAGCAGTGCTGTTGCTGTTGAAGGCTGGATGATGCCGACGGTCTCAGGAAAGCTCCAAAGGCAACCTGGCAGAGGCGGCCGGATGTTCTGCCTGTTAGAGCAGCGTTTCCACAGACCTCCAAGGGCAGGGCCTCTTGCTCTGTAACCTCGGGCTGTGAGGATGAATCTACAAGGGTGCCTAACTAACTGCTGCCTCTGGAGAGGAACCAAGAAAGATGGGATGAGGAATGGCAGCTGCTGCTTCTGTGGGGCAGCCACTCCCAACACCTTCACAATTCCCACTGCCCTATTCATCCTTTAAGGAGTTTGGTGAGATGAGTGAGCAGCACACCGCATGGGACAAGCCCAGCATATCAGTGCAGGCTTTGCAAAGGCACCTCTTTATTTCTCTTGCTTGAGTGGTGCCTATATTAAACGCTCTTCCGGCGGCACCTTTAATACACTGTCCATCTCCAGGCGGGCGCCTGCCACCTCTTGTTGGCTCGGGCTGTAGGTCCCCTCTGACTGACGCCTCTTCCGGGCCGTGAGAATCATAAGAACGAGGATAATAATGAGTAGCAGCAAGCAACCGCAGGCTACCGGCACCACTACTTCAATAAATGGGAACGGGAAGAAAGCACTTGGAGTCCCTCTCTGCAAGAGAAATTAATGGAAAAACAATGAGTCCGGAGAGGAGAGCTGCTGGGCAGCTCAGTTATACTTGAGAGAGGATGTGTAGTAAGGGCGACATGCTGCCCCCTGTTAAATGTTTAAAGCAGGCAAAGGATGAAGAGCAAAGTGCAGTTGTCTTGACATGATTACCTCCTAAAGAAGGCAGGACAAGGGGCTGAATTTTCACCCACAAAAAGCAGGCACTAGAGAAGCATGTTGTGGACTCGGTTCCTAAAAGCCCAGCTCAGTCCTGAACTGTTTTAGATATCTGTAAACAAAAGTGGTAGTAGTTCTCAACCTAGTCCTAAAGGAGTTCAGACGGCCAAAAAATGAGGAACAGTTCTGTATGTAAACTTCAGACTTATGCAGATGTGGGAAGGATGCTGTTTTCCAAACCGTGGTGGGGCAACAGTGGTGAACTAGGAGTACTCCCTGAAGGGATGTTTTCTTATATGAAGACATTTTCTCCCAATCATGTGGCACTGAATTAAGTAGGAAGCTCCAAATGCCTTTGGAGGTGTTCTTCTCCCTGAGAAAGAAGAAAGCTAATGTCCCAGCATGTCTTTCAACGTCTGTTCCTCAATTTAAGAAGGGACTCATTTCTCTCAGCTACAGAACTTTCCTGCAGAAGCTGACCACAATAGTCCAAGAAAGGCAGTGGCCTATGGCTCAGAACTTACTTACAGAATCTTATTGGGGACGTGGGATTAGCATAAGCCTTACTAAAAACAGCTGTGTGCAGGCTCAGCGGTTAAGATGACTGCCAGAAAAGTACTGCTCACTTAACAGAGAATCTGGGAGAGATTTATAAGCAGGTAATTGGGTAGATTCTGAGCTCTAAATCCTCGCTCTAAATTGGATCTATCAAAGATGGCGTGGAACTAGAGCAGGATCTGTCTGTATCAGAGAGCAGTTTTAAACAAACTTCTACTTCTCATGGGGTGAGAAGAGCAAATTCCACCTTGAAATGTTTCAGGTTAATTTGGGTGTGCAAAAAGAAACCCATAAATGGGGCCTCCTCTTGCCCTTGGCATGCATGTCCTTCCTAAGCAGGACAAGAATGTGGCATCGTCCAACTGGAACTCTCTTGTCAAAGTTCAGGATAGTTCATCTCAAAAGACACTTTCTTTCCAAAGGGAAAATGGAGCCAGCCTGTAAGGATGCATTATTCAGAACTAGATTCTGCTGACTACATTGGTTAGTTGTGGTCTAGCAATGGAGGGATGAAATAGAAGAGGCAGTGGAAGAAGCACTAGCATACAGAAAAGCCAATGGGAAAGGACCAGCACCAAGGAGCATCTGTAGCAAGAAGATACTGCCTTGGGCTCAAGCATGCAAAGGAGCTGTTCAGATGTGTCCTGAGAGAGGCATCTGTGTGACAGCAACAGCAGTGAGCCTGCCCCCCCTGCCCACATGCAGTGAGGGTGGGGTCGAGGGGGGGAGGGTTCATGCATTCCAGGTTAGTATCTTCCTTGGCCCTCATGCACCCACATGCATCGTGTATGAAAAGGAAGACGGAGAAAAGGGCCCATCCAAGGCAGATTTCCTCCTTTGTCCAGCCATGCTGCAAGTACTCAACCACTAAACGAATACTGTAGAGCTAAGGTCATTTCCATATCTATATTCACACATAAACTTTTAAAAAAACTGGTTCTGCACCCTTGTATGCAAACACACAAATTCAAAGGGACCTAGGAACTGTCTGGTTCCCTCCCAGGTCTCACAGCTTCCCCTCTTCTTCTGTCCTCCCTCATACTCTGTAATGCCCTTATAAAAATTATAGAATACATTTCTGGATTATGCAAAACCTACAACTCACAAGAAGCAAGGCCAGAAGACTCAATGGTGCTGGTAAAATTACTTGAAAGCCATACCGGTGTGTGTGTGATCATGAAACCTAAAAGTGATCTATCTGATTTGGGTTTCTAGGCTGCAATTCCCTCAGCCTAGTTCTCCCAGTTCTCTTGGGAAGATTCTGGGAACTGAAGTCCAAAAGCACAAAAAAGCACAACCTTACTGTTACCAGAGAGAGTTCTTATACTGGTGTGAGAATGATGTTTTTTTGCAAAACTATTGACAATTTTTTACTTTTTTGAGCAAAATTGTCCCTTATGCACAAAACTGTACAGCCTGAACAACTGTACAAATCGCCGAAAACTAGGTGGCTGCTATTTTATTTAGGAATTGAAGCCCTTAAGGGGCATTAATGCCATTTTATGCAAATTATAGACACCTTAAGGAATTTCTTTAAAAAGAGCTCTTTGTTTCACTCTTGGCTGGAGATGAGGAATCTCATAAGGTATTAAAATTCCTCTTTGGGGGTTTCTCATCTTGTTGAGACTGCCTAAATAGACAAAAATGAATGATTCAGTGAGTGCTCCATACATCTTGGTTCCATTTTACATGAGCTATGAAGTTTTAAATCAGTTTCTTTCCATGGCAATGACTCAGCCAATTTACTCCCCTTCTGAACCTCAAGAGAAAAACATGACCTACCACTAGGCAAAGAAAAGAAGAACGGTTTGCTTACATCCACATCACAGCGCTCTCCAGTGTAGCTGGCACTGCACACACACCGGTACCGGTTTACTGAATCTTGGCAGGTCCCTCCGTTCTGGCAGGGGTTGGGGTCACATTCATTGATGTTGATCTGGCACCTGAAAATAAATTGAGGGCAACAGTGAAACCATGGCCTTAAAGAGATGGTGATGCAATAGAATTTGGGGGTGGGGGATCTGAGCAGGCCAGGGAAGAGGGATTTTTTTTTGTCTTAGCATTTTAATTAATGAGCATGGAAAACTTCTGTGGTGGCTGCTGGCCTTGTGGAAGACACAGCATCAATGAAATTTTGCGCTCTCAGCTAGGAAAGAACAATGTCTGCTGTGGAACAGCCAGATGGCTCTCTTGTTAAACAGGGAAGCTAAAAAGGTTCCCCTTCTGAAAATCATTGTCTTGCTTGTGTCACAGTTCTGGCTCTCTCTGAAATTCCTTTATGGGTCTATCTGTCTTATTAACTGGTGAAAAGAATCTCTTGGATCTATCTATTCATCCATCTATGCACACTGTGTGAATTCCAACCACATTTTATTTACTAAAAGTATTTATTGCTTTTCTGCCCACCAGGGTTCTCAAGAGTATTGAAATGAAACTGTTTGAAACATTTTTTAAAAAAACCATTTTGAACAATTTTAGTCAGTTTAAAAAGGGGTTTTAACGACCAACACCCTTCAAAATAATATAATCTTGGTTGCCTGTCCGAAGCTCAATAGGGACACAGTCATCTCAGCTTCCTTTGGGAGGGAGTTCCATAGCTGAGGTGCTGCTCTTGCTGAGGATGCCTTGGGGTAAAAATAGTTTGCATGTGAAAACAGCCAAGCCAAAATAATCTTTTGGAGGATGCCTTTGCTATGAGGGCTCTTCGGAGGACTGATGGGTGTGTATGTGAAGGAACTCCAGACTTACTTTCTCCCTGTGTAGCCTGGTTTGCAGGTACAGTTGGCTCCCCAGGGCCCACTGATACATTTGCCCCCATTCAAACAGGTGAAGTTCTTGCCACACTGTTCAGGTGGGAATGGCCACCTGGTAAAAATAAGAAACAACCACAGTAAGGATCATTATGAAGCAACCAAGGAGAGGTTTCCAGACAGACGCACACGCCATGCCTTGTTCCTTCCTGCCCCACCTGCTGGACAGTGCTTACTCGCAGAGAGGGCCTGTGAACTGGGGCGGGCACTTGCAGGAGTAGCTGTAGACCCCATCGATGCAGGTCCCTCCATTCTGGCACTGGTGCCTTATGCAGTCGTCCACGTTGATCTGGCAACGCTTCCCAATATAGCCCTTGTGGCACTCGCACTGGAAGTCTCCCACCTCATCCCTGCACTCCCCGTGAAGGCAGGGGCCGGATTTGCAGTCATCGATGTTGTTCTGGCACAGCAGCCCCTCCCAGCCAGGACTGCAGGCACAGCTGAAGGCATTGAAAAGATCCTGGCAAGAGCCCCCGTGCTGGCATGGGCTGGGGGAGCAGACCTCTGCCCCGTGGCAGCCAAGGAGAGCCTCTGCGCTGTTTATCTGTAAGAACTGCTCTGGCTGGGGATATGTGTTGGGCATAGCCAGTGGCAGAAACACGCCGCCTATATCTGCATGTCCAAGGCAGCCTGTGAAGTTTTTGCCTAGTATGATAATGGTCTTGCTTTTCAGGAAGTCCAGATTCCCAGCATTCCCGTCAAGGGTTGTGTTCATGGAGCTGTCCAGACAGAGGTGCCACCTCGATGAAAGGGCTGACGGCTCTTCCATGGACAACACAAGCTCATGCCAGGAGCCGTCTGAGACAGACACTTCGCTCAGGAAGTTCACTCCCTCAACACCGTTCCCACTCCTGATCTCCACCAACAGAGATGAGTTATGAATTGCCACCAAGAGAGAATCTATCTCTTCTACAGCTTGGAGCAAGACAGCATCTTCATCCCGTGTTCTGAAGTCCAGGCGGAGACTGTGCAGAGCCCTGGTGATGGTTGCGTTGGTGGAGAATTCAACTGCATTATGCTCGTAGAAGGTGGCACTGGCCAGACCTGCAAAGAGGCGGAAGAGGAACACAGTGGTCAGAGAACTTGGAGAATCAGCATTGAGAGGGTGGCCTGCGCCGAACTCTGAAGAGCTTAGCGAAGACATCTACTAGGAACAGATTCTCTGGGGATGACACTTGTTAACCATTATGATATGGGGAGGAAGGGGTGGAGCCCTCCTCTGCTCTAGTAGTTTTTCTAGAGTTGCTTGCTGTGATTAATTAACGCTTTCTGATGCTTTTATTGTGGACACCAAAAGAGAAGTATGTACTTGTTCAGTGTGACTGGAAGGTAGCAGTATAGTTTAGGCCAGTGGCAGCAAACCTTTTCGGGCTTGCGTGCACAAACTAGGGAAGAAAAAAACCGCCAGTTGGCAGCGTGCCACCGCAGTGGAACCAGAAGTGGCAGCTGAAGGGGGAATCCTGGGCACAGATGTGCCTCGAGACCCCACTCTGGATCCGCCGCCAGCACCAGCTGCTCCGGATCCGCCTCTTGAAGCGCCACATCGCGGCTGCAGTTGCCTTCTCAGGTTTGGCTGCATGGGGAGGGGGGAGTAGTGATCCAGCAACATATGGCCTGCGTGCCTGCAGAAAGGGCTCTCTGTGCCAGCTGTGGCACGTGTGCCATAAGTTTGCCATCGCTGGTCTAGGCTAACTACAGAAGTTCCAAACAGATAAAGAATCTGTATGTATGACTGCACAGAGAGAATAAAGAAATTTCTGAGAAACATGTATGAGTCCATTTGACATGGATGAGTTACCACCACCCCCAACAGACTCCAACCTTCTTTTGTATACACAGTTGGCCCTTTAAAGGGCAAGCTGTATTTGGTGGAACTGGGATCCTTTTCAGCATTAGTATTTGTACCAGATGAGGAGCAGAAGGATGGGATTTGTGCAAAGTTCTTCAGACCCCACTTAACCTCATAAATTGAAAGCCAAATGTGTGATAGGCCAAAGATCCCACAGCGGAACTCACAAACGTAGCCAGACAGGACATCGATGCAGGTTGTGCCTTGAGGACATGGCTCACTTTTGCACCACACTTTCTCCTCACAGTGCTTGCCAGTGAAGTCGCTGGGGCAGCTGCAGTTGAAGTCATTCCAGGTGACAGTGCAGTGGCCGCCATTGAGGCATGGTTCAGACTGGAAGACAAAAGAGAAACTTGATCAGGGAAGAAGATACCAGCTTTCCAGCAGTGGAGATGAAATGGAGACATGCACCTCTGAAGGTCTAAGGGGTGAGAAAGGTGGATGGATAATGAAGCAGCAGCAGCCACTGGACAGGGGGGGAAATAGCTGCATAGCAGGCAGTTGAACCTCGAACTTCAAGCAAGAACTTTCTTGCCTTCACTTATACTCTGGAGACTAATTTTTGGCTTTTTTTCTGCTTTTCATTTCATTTCCTGCCCAAGTGTGCTTCTTTCTGCTACAAAAAACATCCCTTGAGGTAGACAGTAATAAAGACTCGGGAGATGATGAGCAAGATACCCTCCCTACAGCTCTGTTTTTCCCCATTGCCTGTGAGGATTGCAAAGGCTAGAGCGATTAGCAAGAACAGCCATAGTGTTTCATGGAACCTGTTTTGAACATCTCAGGGATATCTGACTGGCCAAAGTTGGGAAATCAGAGCTGGGCTGAAAAGGCTTGATGCGGCATAGCATTAATGATCCATTAAGGAACCCCCCTTTTTTTTTTTTAAATTAAGGTCACAGAAGCATTCTTTCCATGTGTGGTGTAAGTGAGCTGAAGTTGGACAACTGTCTTTAGCAGTTGCCTCTTACCTTGCATGTATCATCTGAGACACACCCTGAAACAACATTAGTGGGTTGCCCCACATACACCTCTTGCAGAAAACTGTTATTGGCTGGATGTGCAAAAAACTGCAGCTGGTGATGATTGAGCTGTACATCCTGAAGGCAGCCTTTGAAATGCCCTCCCCAGTTGCTGATGCTCTCTTGGTCCGGGAGCCCACCTATATTAATCTTGGAGCCAGCGAGGACAGGAGTCACCACCAGAGGTCCTAGTGCCTCCTCTCTGTCTAAAAGGATAGCGTGAGCAAGACCGTCCTGGAAGGAAAGCATTACAAAGTGCTTTGTCCCGTCAGCCAGGTATCCAGAAGGCCCGACAGGAGCAGCAGACGGTGCCTCTACCAGGAGCTGCCCATCTTTCAGGTACACGGTAAGGAACATGTCACTTGGGTTGCTGATCTGGAACACCAGGCCACTGGGCTTTAGAGTCCGGATGAAAAATGACAGGTTGAGGTTCACTCCAAGATTGTTGCTAATTGTAAAACTGGCAAAGCTCAAGGAGTTGTCTTGGCCAAATGTTGCTGCAGGAGATTCTGAGGAAATATAAGGAAAAAAAATGCCATGTCCAAACTGAGGGGACCAAGGTGCCCTGAGAGCCTACCAGGCTAGTCTTGGCCCTGATACTTTTGGTGGTGGTTCTTCTGGATATAACAACAACCAAACCCTCGCATACCCAGGCTGTGGCAACAAACCCTTAAGGGCTGTATGCAACTGCCTGTCCTTGAGTGTTGGCGACAGCATTTAACCTTTGTGACTTTTGTAAGTATATACACATACAACAAAATTTTGGTGGTGGTTCTTCAGGATATAACAACAACCAGACCCTCGCATACCCAGGCGGTGGCAACAAACCCTTGAGGGTGTATGCAATTGCCTGTCCTTGAGTGTTGGTGACAGCATTTAACCTTTGTGACTTTTTAAGCCCTCTCTTTCTATTGTTCTCTGGAAGAGTCTGCTAGCAGGGCCTGAAGAGCCAAGGAAAGTGTGATGCTTGCCTTTCAAGGTCCAGCATGTAAACTAGGAACTTCCCCGCCTCAAAAGCCAAGATCACCTTCCCAAAGAGGTTTTTGTTTCCTCACCTCCCTCTCAAAGGGGCCAACAAGAGACCAAGCTCATTACTCACCATAAGAGCACATCCGGCCTTCATAAGGCCGAGAACAGTGGCAGCGAAAGTCCGCCCAGAGATCGATGCACTGGCCACCATGTGAACAAGGCTCAGAGAGACACCACTCCGTCCTCTCACAGCCAAGCTGGAATCCAGAAGACTGCAATCCAGCCACATCCTGTGGGAGGACAATCTTCGTGTCAATCTGCAAGTCTTCTAAGCAGCCGATGAAACTCTTTGTGGGACGAGCCACTAACTCCTCATCAACTCCCCCAATATAAATTTGCAGGAAGGAGGGCAGGAGGGAAACAGGGACTGTCTCTCTAAGAGGGTGTCTGAAGAGACAGACACCTGCCTCACAGGATTCATGCCACAGCCTGAGCTCAAGAGAATCTTGCAGAAGGACCTCAGTTTTATGCCACTGGCCATCATCCACCTGTGGTGCGTCCATGGTAAAAGATGATGTGGCTTCATGTATCAAAAATGTGACACGCAGAAGTCCTCCAGAGAGCTCCAAGTAAAGGTGTTCCATCTGGTGGCCTCGATAGAACAGAATGGCATCAGGAAGGGTGGTCCGGAACCGGAGCGACACGCTGGTTAGGGGACCCTTTGCTATGTCACTTGGGCTCTCACTGTTTGCAGACATGTTGATAAAGAGGTAAATGCTTGATGTGAAGGAGAAGGTGGTTGGTGTGGAACACAGGGGGCCGAAGTATCCAGGGCGGCATCGACACAGGTATCCGTGGACCTCAGACTTGTAGGTGGGGATGCAAAAGGCCTCGTTTTGGCAGCTGTGACTCTGGCACCCAGTGAGCTCCACAGAACAGTTCTTCCCACCCCAGGCAGTGCCATCTGGGCCAAGGATGCAATGGCAGATGTAGTCAGCAATGCCATCCTCACAGGCACCGCCGTTTTCGCAGGGGTTGTCTTCACACTCATCAATATCAGTGGCACATTCAACACCTAGCAGAGAGAAGGTAAGAACAAGTTAATGCAGAAATCAGGTGCTGAGATTGCGCATATATACACAGCAAGGAAAACACACATATCACACACATACACACAACCCCCCACTTAAGAAGCTTCTTGTCCCTCCAACCCCCTATCACAGGTTCCCAGTAATCTTCCAAGACAGCTGCACAGATAAACAAAGTCTGGATTATTCAGCTTAATAGCATTAAACCCTGCCTGCAGGTCTGGGAGGAACCAGAGCACAAAAGGCATGCAGAACATGCTCCTCCTCCTCCTTTTCACTTAGGCAAGGAAATATAATGGGAAAGATCAGGTACAAGTTGAACTTCCTCTGTTGCATTAGACAGATTGGTAGTAAGTAGATTCCTTCACATCCATGTGATGGAAAACAGGATTTTTCTTTAACTCCGTCTTCAACAGCTTGAACTTCAGAAGGCAACAATCCTGTTTATTAGAGAAAAGTGCTATCATGCCACCTAATGGTTGTATACAATTTCTTTTGCCAACAAACCTAGGTTTAGATAGGATATTCTGTGGTCATGCAAAGTCTGCATGGGATAACAGGTTGGCTGCAAAACAGGAGTGTATAGAGAATGGGGCTTCATTGCTAATTACTTTCCCTGCCCAAAGATCTCAGCTCCTGAATGAAGAGTGTGTTTTGGGCCAGGAGGTCTGGAGGGGAGAATTAAAAACACATCCTCCCACCTTCCTCTTAAGGCCAATTGTCTTTCCGTCTACTACTTGGGTTCCAGGATGCACTGTGTGCTAGGGAGTAAATTAATCCTCCTGGTGATTGTACAACCTGATATCGATAGCTAATTAAGAACAGAACCTCCCCCTGGGAAATGAGCTGTTTTGATTTCTGCCTTGTTTGTTTGGTGTGGTAGAGAAAATATAAGTTGCCACCACAGATCACATTGAGTCTCAGCTGGTTGTATCTGCTGTTTTTGTGTGTCTATCCCATTCAGCCAGAAATTGAGTGAGAGGAAGGGTGGGTGAGAGATGGCTCACCAACAAGTGAAATGGAAGAAGAAAACTTTTCCTCAAAAATGGGGAAAATCACACTCTTCTATCAGGTGCAGCACAGCCAGAAGTGTCCTGAAGAAATTAGACTTCCTCTTACTTCCATGTGGACAATTAAGATCCCCTCACTGGGAGAAATAAATAAATAAAATAAACAGAGGGCTGATAGACTTAAGTGCCTTCCCTACATTCATTCCCTTTGCCTGGTTTCAACATTTCCCCTCAATCCAATCTACTTTCTTGCCAATGTGATTCCTCTCACTTGGCATACTGGAATATTCATGTCTGTTCCACAATAGTTATACTAGTGAGTAAGCCATTAGAGTAGAGCTGCACTGCTGGAGTGTTTCTGAAGGCAAGAAAACAGGGCAAGCTTTGTGTGTGTGTCAGGTCACTTCCCTAATGATTTATGCCAGAGAGTTTATCCTGAATCCACAGTTGCATTCCACACATCACACACACAAATGCAACAGCTGCATGAATTGCACTGAGACAGGAAGGGGTACCAGTGGAAAAATATGCAGAACTGCTTAAAAGGAAGGAACCCCATGCAATGACTGAGCAACAATTGCAAAATTATGCTAGTCAAACAAACATTGCCCTGTAAAGCCCCCAAGTCACTTCATTTTTCAGATGCTTCAGTGTGGGGGAGAAAGGGGTCTTAGTAGACCTGCCTATATTTACATATTCATTCAAGGCAACTCCTGCCCCCAATCCGGAAATAACAAGATTTTGCTTTAGGCTTTTGCAGTCAGCCAAAATGAGGTAGGCTGCTACATGCCAGGAAATAACCTATACTCCCTCCTATGGGAGGCAGAGTGCTTTTGGAAGCCTGATGCAGAGAAGGAGGCAGGCAGCATGAAAAAAGAGCATCTCTGCAGCATAGTTTCTTTAAAATCAAAGTATACTAACTTTTGTGCACAAATGCATGCACTTCAAGCCTCCTCCAAAAGTGTGGAGATGGAAAAAAACATCAGCTTGCTCCTGCCAACCTGAAGCACCTCCTATCCTAAAGCCAAAGGAGAACCTATAACTTTACTTTCTATTTCTGAGAATCTAGTTCTCAACCACAGGGTTATGCTATAGTAGGTACACTTATATACTGCCCAACGTAGGGAGAATACTACTCAGGGTTGGTTATAGAAGGATAAACTAAAAATTATTATAAAACCAACAAAAAACAAAATTTGTAGCATCCTGCCAGCTGAATAAATAATATATATAACTACAATAAGAGGGCAAACACCTAATGGCATCTACTATAAAAATAAAAGTCCTAATAATATAACCACATAAAGTAAAATACTGTATAACAAAACATGACACAATACAGAGTAGCAAGTATGGAAGAACATCACTGAAGGACTCCGTAAACAATTCAGTTCTGATAGGTTTTCTAAACTTTTGGAGGGAGGAGCCATGTGTCACTTCCAGAGGAAGTCCATTCCAGAAAGAGGATGCCACCCCCAAAAATGGAACAGAAGGAATAAAGATGAGAAACACTGGCCCTTTCCGGAGAGAACCTGCTTTACTACTTGGAGTCACACACACCATTGGCAGGATGCTGCGGTGAATGGGTTCTGAACTTGCAGTACTCTTCCCCCTATTGTGTTGAACACGGAATTGCTTTCAACCTATTGCACTTGTATAGTTAAACGAGGCAGCCTCCTTTAGCCCCCCCCCCCAGTTGGAAAGCCTGAATCCCTTGTTGGTGGCATGGGTAAACCTCCCTTGCTGTGGTATTCAGAAGCCAGTCAGAAATGACAAGTCATCAGGGATTAAAAAAACAAACAAACCACCACACCGAAGATGGCTCTTCCTTCTATTCTCTAAGCCACCAGTCTTCAACCACAGCCCTGATGTGCTGCATGTATAGGGCAAAGAATTAAAAAGCAGGCCCTCAAATGCTTGCTTGAAAGAAAACTGTGTTCTGCCTCTGAAACAGTCAAATGTTACAGTTGTGTACAGTAGGGTGTACTCCAAAGGGAAACAGAGACAGTTGTTCTCTCCCAAAAAGTGTGAATTAATAAGAAATTTGCCTTTTTGGTGGGGTGTGTGTGTGTAGAGAAGTCCTTGGTCATCCATCTCTTCAAGCCCGCCCATTCTGGGGAAGAATCTGGACTATGCAAAGCCTAATTGCCAGAGGAATTGCTGCCAACACAATTCTGCTCATGCTTAACATGTTAAACACACAGCCTCCTCTCCCTTATTTGCACCTCTTTCTTCTGATAGCCCCCAGGAGAGCAGCCCCAGACTATAGGCTCCAACCAGAGAGAAATGACTGCTTCCCCCCCCCCATTTTGGTGAGTCTGTGGTGTTTTTAGTTTTCGCAACAATTCCTACTCCCTAGAAAAAGGAGAATTCCCCTCCTCCCAGAGTTGGTATAAGAAACATCACATGAGGGAGTCAAAAGTGCATTTGACCGTGAAGCCAAAGCATGAAGCTGAAATCACTTTCCAGCGCTCCAGGCACAGCCAGTAACAGACACACCCACAGTGTGGAATCAAAGCAAAACTTTCCAAATACCAGTGAGACCGATTGATCCTGGGTACACACAAGGTACCTCCTCTTAAAGATCCTCCTGCATTTATTTACACAGTCCA